TGGAATTTTAATTTTTATATTAAAAATGAGAAAAAAAGACAATCTTTCTGTAAAATATAAGAAAAAAATCTGCTTCATTTTATATGCTCTAGGGACGATAGCTGTTCAACTTGTAAATTCCTTTAGAGACTAGTATCTAATTCTTCATTGCATTTGGGCAGACTGATTTGAGTTAGATTTTGAGTCTCCTCTTCTCTGGGAAGAGGGTTGAGAAGCTACAATTTTGGAGTTGTACTAAGACAAATAAATAGCAGTCCCACAGTTCCTGCAATAGCAAAGAGTGTAAAAGGGATTGTGGCATTTGTGGATGCAATGGGGCTTTACAAATATGCTGCTGTGCATAGTTTTCAGATCAAAATTATTTGTGAACCAGATTTTATCATTCTCAAACCATACAATATAAGTTTGAAAAGCACACTTGCATTTTCATTTCAATTCTGTCTCAAGGTACCATATTACGTTTCCTTTAAATAGCCAGGGAATTAAATGCTGTTTTCTTCCATGATCCATAAGTGAAGTCCAAAAAAAGTTTGCAATTTATAAAGAAACCTAAGTCTCGCATGCATGTAGTGTCTTCAATAATTCATATTCTACACCTGGAAATTATTTTGTTGTTACTTTTTGTATTGGAGAATCATTGCAAAAATCTGTTTTAAAAGTTTAAGTAAGCTAAATCACACCATTGTATTTTAAAATGCAGCATGCACATTTTAAAATGAAGCAACAAAGTCTGTAATGTGTTTTCACTTCAGAAGTAATATATCAGAATATTGTATTATATACCTACATGCTGTTGGTAACACTTTTCATTTGTTTAACCATGAGGTGTAGTACGCAAGAATAACATCAAAATTACTTCATCTTAGAGGAAATAGGAATAAATACCTGGGGTTTTTCCTTCCTTTTTTGTGTGTGTTTATTTGTTGAGGGTTTTTCTGTGAAGCCATGTTACGTTTTATAGTTATCCAGTTGCTTTGAACTAAAAATAGTTCTTAACACATCAAGTGACTTTTCAAGCTAACCTCCCTCTAGACTTTAATCTGCATTACAAGCTAGAAATCTTTGAAGCTCATCATGTTTAATTCGCACAGCAAAGCCCAGAAAAGAAGTAAAAGAAAAGGCGGGGGAGAGAGTCACAGCAGGGCAAGCAAATTCAAACCCAGTCAGTCACATTACATGGTTGGGTTTCTTGTATGTATTCAGTTCTCCACATGTTAGTTTAACCTAAAGAATGACCAAAAACAACTGTTAAATAAAATGAACTAGTGGTAATAAGCAGACCAATGCTGCTAGGAATAGAAACCTAGGACAAGACTGAGGTTAAATGTATCTTTGTTTATATAACATTATTTTGTTTGGTGTAATGATGCCACTAAGTATTAGCCTTATTTAAAAATGTTTCATTATCTTGATGTTATCTGTTCATTGCATTGTGCATGCTGTATGGAGGAAAGCACGTATTTAGGATTGTTCTTTTCTTGGGGAAGGGATCCTGCCCCAGAGCACATGCAATCTAAAGGGACTGGGAACAGGAATAGAGTATATCCAGACCAAGCTGATGACCTATCTACATTATTATTGTCGTTTCAGAGAAGACAGTGAGGTTAGGATAGTTTGACCATGAAGTGGTGCTGTTAACTCGAAAACGATAAGCTAAAGCTGGCCAGGCAGTTCTTTGTTTTGGAGTGTAGTTCCATTTACTAACTAAGGATGAATAGCTCAAACTAAATCAGTAAAATATTTTTACCCCTTTTCCCAGTTACACAAAACTACTATGAAATCAAACCCCCAACCTCCTGCCCACCGTGAAGCCAGTTGGAAAGAGGCACTTACCCGAATGTTGATCTGTTTGTCGTAGAGCACTCTCTGCAGCTCCAGAAGGCTGCCCTTCAGCGTCCTGAGCTTCACAGCCAGCTGCTCTGCCTCGTCCTTGGTGTGAGCTTTCCCCTCCATAAGTAAGTTCTCGTTGTGCACAGACAACTCTGACAAGGCTACCACCTTCTGCTCTATTTCAACCAGCATGTTCTGCAGCAGCAAAAACAGAGAACCAAATTCATACATTTTCCAGCATCTGTCGCGCTTTCTGGCAAGATGACCTGTGGCCTACCTCACCCAGTGCCAAGCTAAGGACAAGTCAGACTATCATTGCTTTGCCTTCCAGACCCTTTCAGAGTCCTTAGGAATACACTTGCAAATGTTTGCATTTGCCATTTCTGTTTGCAACCTTTTTCAAAATAGGAAAATAAAAAGTTATTTGAAACAAAGGATTTGTTGTAGAGGAGATGCTCTTTATTTGCACATTAAAGGTAAGGGCGGCTAAGATGCTAGACTGACATCCATAATGACAAGAAACAGAGCACGCAGCTAGAGTTACTTCTTTCCTCTTCTTTCACGTACATTTAGTGAAATGCTTCCTACCTCCTCCTATGTGTTGCTCTGGCTGCGTTGATAAGCTTCTCTTCTCACTATTTGCTCTTTCTGATTGGTGAATGATGGACTTAAGGATTTCTGTATAATCCTCTTTAGTCTAAGGAGAGACTTAAAGTGACAAATCTCTGGCATGTTTATTCTCAAAAGCTACTTTCCTGACATTCCATTAACCATTCTTGTATTACAGATGTAGTGCATATTTTGATCTTCCAAAGTCAAAGCTCATACAATTCTTGCTCAAAAAACCTAGCCTGACATCAAATGTTTTTGTGTCCATAGCAACCATCAAGTATAAACTTACAAATATTACTCCTGAAGGAATGTGTGCAGAATAAGATGGGCAGAGTCTCTAAAAGGTGCAAAAATTACAGGAACTTATATAAAACTTACTCTATTGAGATTTTAAGAATCAGCAAAAAGCTGGCAGTATTAACTTTTCCACAAAGTTAACTGGTTTTTTTTAAGTTTTCTACAGATTATATTAAAAAAAAATTACTGCTTTGTTTAAGGTCACAGGGCTTATCTATATACAACAAACATCTCCCAAGGACAGGTGATGAAAGAACACTTGACACTGAGCAGACTGAAAATTCCAGTAATGAAGCAGTGTCAGTGGAAATTTAACTAGATGTTTAATTCATTGGCCTTATATGAAACTTGACTATGCTAAAATAGTTGAGATCCTCATTCTTTAATATGAAAAGGGATCTTTTGTCCATCTGTCTCTTGCCTATCTTGTAATTTTAATTATAATGATCATACAGTTCTTAACTCTCATTTAAAAATGAAAGAATCCCACTAATTTGAGAACCTGGATGTTATGACTGATTCAAGTCTTGTTAATAAAAGTACATCCAATTACTCCTTTTGCAGCAAAATGTTTTTCCTCAGTTGTTTTGGTATTGTGGGCTGATTAGTATTAAGTTCACAAGAATAGTAACTACTGATGATTATACTTTACTTTTGAATGTGGGAAGGGATTACTCCTGAAGAAAACACAACACTGTCCCAGTCACCACTACTAGTGGGATGGTGTTCTTCAGCTGGAAAAAGAGGAGTAGGAAAGTACACTGCAGGTGTTTTCATACCTATCAAGTGAGGTGTTCAACAACTGTAGCTTGAGTGGAGCAAAACCAGCAAGTGAAGTGAATACAAGGCCCTTAAAGCAAAACAAAATGCCCTCTGAAAGTTGTAGAGCTTCAAATATTCTTGCAGCCAGGATATCTCACCTTCCTCCTGCTATGTTTACATGCGCTTTCTAAAACATTGTTTGCAATCTTTAATAAGACATGAAGAACAGGCTATATTTTATTTCACAGATCACAGATGAAGCTAACTGAGCATATATGAGGTGCTGCAGAACTCAGAAACTTCTTCCCCACTAATATGCTGGCTCATCCCACTCAATAATGGTCTTAATATTAATGCTCCAGATTTGCCTCTTCATTCAGATAAAGCTATGTCCATCCTGTTCACCTAAACATTATAGGATGATGATTTTACCTGACAGTCTACCAGCTGTGCTTCCATGTCCATAGGTTCTTCAGCAGTAACCAGAGTGGTGTCCAGTGTTGCTCGGGTATTGAGTAGCCAGTGGTCAAGCTCATCAGCTTCACAACGGTACCTTTGAAGAGCCTGCTCTTGCCGCTGTTCTTCCAGCTGCTCGTTCAGTTTTTCCTAGGGGTACAAGTTATATTCTAATTTTTAAAAGGAACACAGCACAACAATCACTTTTAAAAAGATTTCCTTCTCTGTCTTTCATAATTAGTCTTTTCTTTCATAAGTTGGAAACCTCTACAAAATATTACTGCTTTCAATCAATGAGCATGCTTTTCTGGTGACTCAAATTCTGTTTCAGTTCAGTCACTGTATTTCTACTTCCTTCAGTAGACCTCTGCTATTACAGCCTTCTAAAGGTGAGGTCTTTTCTACCTCCTGTTGCTGCTCTCCTTTGGGTTTCCCCCACATTGATTCAATTTGCTCAACTAGCACAACACTGTTTGCTTAGGAAGAAAGATGCATGGCAGCACAGACCTGGGAGTGGGCTGCAGGGAAAGGACAGCAGCAGGCTGTTAAACAGCATTATTGTCTCTCAAGAGAGGCATGAGAGGACTTGAAGGACCCAACAGGGTACTGGCAGGCCTTTGGTGTAGCCACCGTGGGTAAACAGAAGACTGAAGATCTGTCTACGTTGTCTGACCTCTCAGGATCTCCGTGCCATGGGGTGTGGAAGGACCTTAAGCTCCAATGGCTGCTACGACAACAGCATTGCAGTAACAGATTCCCTGGCTCCATCAGCTGGTCCATCCATTGGACAGACAGGGAGTGATCAGCAAGACTTGCTCACCCTTTAGTAGTCTGATGACACAAAATGCGCAGAGTGGCAGATACACCAGAGAGTTGTGCTGCCATCCAGATGGACCCTGACAGGCTGAAGAAATGGGCTGACAGGAACCTCATGAAGTTGAGCAAAGGGACGTGCAAAGTCCTGTACCTAGGGAGGAACAACCCCAGGCACCAGTATACGCTGGAGGTCAACCAGCTGGAAAGCAGCTTGGCAGAAAAGGACCTGGTGGTCCTAGTGGACACCAAGTTGAACATGAGCCCTTGTGGCTCTGTGACCTGGGCTGCATCAGGAGGCACGTTGCCAGCAGGACGAGGGAGGTGATCCTTCCCCTCTACTTAACACTGATGAGTCCATACCTGGAGTACTGTGTCCAGTACTGGGGTCTTCAGTACAAGAGAGACACAGAGCTCTAGAGAGAGTAGAGGGGATGTTGGGAATAAGAAATTGATAGAATGGGATGGTAAGAGGGTACTTGGATGTATCAGATAATTTGGAACCTAAACATGCTGCAAGTGGTATGGAACAAGGGGAGGAGAGTGCACTGGATCTGTCTGGGATGGAGTTAACTTCATCGCAGCCTGTACAGTGCTATGCTTTGCAGCTGTGGCTAAAACTGTGTTGATAGCACAGCAATGTTTTGGCTGTTGCTGTACAGTGCTTGCACAGCATTAAGGCTTTCTTTCCAACTGCCCCCACAAAGGCCAGCAGGCTGGGGTTAGGCAAAAGGTTGGGAGAGGACTTAACCAGGACACCCGACCTGAACTGACCAAAGGGATATTCCATACCATATGAGATCATGCTCAGCAATAAAAACTCAGGGAAAGGGGGAGATGGGGACGCACTTGTGGTTATGGCACTTGCCTTCCCAAGCAACTGTCACATGTGCTGAGACCCTGCTTTCCAGAAAAGTGGCTCAACATCTGCCTGCTGATGGGGAAGTAGTGAATAAATTCCTTCTTTTCCTTTGCTTGAACACACAGCTTTTCCTTACCCCATTAAGCTGTCATTATCTCTATCAATGAGCCTCTTTGCCTGCCTTCTATTTTTTCCCCATCCCATGGGAGAGGGGAGTGAGGGTGGGTGTTTGACTGCTGGCCAGGGTCAGCCTACCACAATTCTGCAAGGGAATTCAGACCTGTATGTGCAGGGCAAATCCCTCACACAGGGAAGTGTTTGCACAGCTTTTCTGAATGCTTAATTCTAATGGGAAAATTAAAAACTGCATGTTAGAATAATTTAATGAATAATGATAGTTTTTAAGAGTCTCAAATAATGCAGAGCCAAACATTTTTCAAGCTCTAGTTATTTAAATTAGGTCCACGGAAAGAACAATATTACCAATCCACACTGTCAACAGCAAAATGTTTTCATTACCTGTTCTACCCATATTTCTGGGAGATTTTAGCTGTGAAATCAGAGCTATAAAGTGCACAAGTTGAATTACTGAATATTGTCTGCATACCATATATATTTCTTAGCTAGGATTATTGGGGGATACTTGTGCTCTTCTATCAACGTAACTGTCAGAATCCTAACCATAGTTAAAAGTAGTATATTTGATTCATCCTTTATCTTGAAATTACTAGTTAGCATCTCCTCCTAAGTACTATCAAGAAGTTTTTAAGATCCTGTATGGGGTGCAAGCTATAAACAGTAAGACCCCTATTCTATTTTCAGCTCATTATTTTACGTAAAAGCCATTTTTCTTCTGAGAAGTAAAACTTAGTGCAATATTTTTCTAAGGACCTGTTTACTGTTTCAGGTGACTGCACAGAAATAATGCAGCTGATGCACCCTGGGACTCCCCTTTAACCCAGGCAGAATCACAGAGCCAATTCTCACTCAGTCTCTCAGAATCGATTGATGCTGGAAATTAAGAAGGCAACAGTTGCTATGTTTATGAATTCACTGTACAGCAGTAAAGCTGCCTTGCAGTGTTCAAAGAAGCCAAACTGTAGCCAGCTTTAGCATGACTGCATTTTCTCACCTGTATAATATACACAGCAACATTCCTATATGTAAAGGACTTTTTAAAAATCACCTCAGTATTAAAGGATTTTTGGTAAAGTTGGTAGACAAAGAAATAAAGGGGTGCATCTTCCAGGATAAAAGTTTGCACACAAATCACTGGAAAGATGAGCGTAGACAACAATACAACGGTTTGGAAAAGGTGTTATTTCTTGTTTTAAGCTTCTTCCCTTTTCTTGTCTCCCAGTTTCTGCCAAGAGTGGATCTCAAAATCTGGAATGTGATCCAAAAGACCCACTCCTAGAGGTTTTGTCTTGTACCTCTAATAGTTGTCTTTTTCCTGATGCCTTCATTCGAATTGTGGCCATTCGTTCTGCCAAGACCGTGAGGGTGGACTGCAATGCCAGCTGATCAGCAGCTTCTGCATCCAGTGGTTCTGAAACCAGCTCCTGGGCTAACGATGTCTGAAGCTCAGTGATCTCTTCTTGTAACATCAAAATCTCATCCATCAAAGCCTATATAGAAATGAGAGCAGAGAAAGTATTTGCTTCATTTTTCAGTGAGAAGAAAGTATCTCAGGAAGCATAAGCTTAATATAAAATTGAAGTTGACTGTCCCAAGGGAGCATGAGGAACACAGAGTAGTGCAATATATCACTACTGGTTTGGTAGAGTCAGAATTCAGGAGGACTGACTCCTGCTTTTATATGCTTAAGCTACTATCATGCATCTGATAACTGAAATGTGGATTTAATTACATAACTTTAATTTGAAATATATCATAGAATCATAGAATGGTTTGGGTTGGAAGGGACCCCTAGAGGTCATCTAGTCCAACCCCCCTGCAGTGAGCAGGGACACCGCTAACTAGATCAGGTTGCTCAGAGCCCCATCCAACCTGGTCTTGAATGTTTCCAGGGATGGGGTCTCCACTGCCTCTCTGGGCAACCTGTTCCAGTGTTCCATTACAAGATGGAATTATTTTGGAAATACTATACGTACAGATTTATTCTTCCAACAATTTTTTTGGAGTGTATTGTTGTAGATAGAATGAAGATAATGAACAGGTAAGTAAGGGTGTGTTTGTGAGAGAGAAATAGGGCATGAGTTAGCTTGCAGCTGAAAACTTACTAACTGGACAAAGAACATCCAGCAATATATGTAAACATCCAGAGGTTAACTCCATGATGTAGAAGAAGTTCCTACTGTCATGCTTATCCTATAAATCAGTTTCCAAGATACCTGCAAAAGGATGCTGCATTACCAATGCCTTAAAGCAGAAACTTTACTTTCATGTCTGATGGTACACACACATTGGATGCACAGGACATCACACAGTGCTACAAAAGCCAAATGTTATCCTTTTCAAGTCATGGAGTTCCTACTGAAATGGGAACTGGCCCCACCAGAAAGTTTCAAGCTATCAGATAGAAGGCTTAGATGATTACAACTTGAGCATCATTTCTCAAGACTTCCTTTGGGAGGGAATTTTTTGCGTGCTTTGGTTTGACTGTTTTGTTTAACACGGAAAAGATTGTATTTCTATCAATTTACGATGCATTGGTTATGATCTTAGTAAATTTGGGAGCATTATTAATAGTCCAATATATGCTTGTAGCACTGATGCTGAAGAACAGTATGTGTAGTTGTCACTGAACACAATCTTTGACAAAAGATTTTGCTGAAAATTTCAATTGGACAAACTCTTACCATCTATTCTACTTTTTAAAAAGGCTCTTCATTAAAATGATCCCCATTACAGTATCTTTAGGACAGTGGGAAGTCCAGAAAGGCAAGGAATAGAGCTAACAGAAAAGGGTCATACAACTAATGCATGTTTTTGAGGCGTCCAGCCATGAAGAACACCACTATCTAAAAAAAAGGGAACTAAAGAAATATAGGTAATGCAATGCTCTCCCTCTGTTCCTCACATACAAGTTTTTACCTGATGTTCAGCCATCTGGCTCTCTGGGCTTTTGGCTGGTTCCAGACTTTCATTTAGTTTGATCTCAGTGGTCTCCATTTTTGTGGATATAGCCTGGAGTGTGTCCTGATATTTCTGTTGACGCTCAAGAGCTTCATAGAGGGTGCGCTGCTTTTCACTGATCTGAAGAGGAACGGAAGGTATAAATTCTGACCTCCAATACAGGATTTGCTCTTTCTTCTGCTTCATACATCCCTAGGCTTATGACACTAAACCCAAAAACTTACAACTTCACAAAACTATAAATTATAAAACAAAACATCCATATTAAAAATATTTATCTGTTTAAACATCACCAGTCAAATCCTAGGTTCTATGACTGAAAAAATGGACTTTAATAAGCAGAGAAAGCCTAGACACATTCTCATGCCTTATTTTAGATTTTATGCGCTCAGACATGTGGATGTGCACAATTTACTAGATGCATAGTTCTTAATACTGCATAATAGCTATGGTGCCCCTGCAAAGAATTAAAATATATAGCATGTGATCAAATCTTCGACCATTTTAATACATCACTGACTGACTATGCTGCACTGATATGTAGAAAAGTGTTAAGCTGACTCAGTATTTGGAGAAACTGGATTCTTGGGCCTTTTTTCGCCAGCTCATCCAGCATGAGTGGATGTTAGGTTACAGAATATAGTCTGACAATAGCCAACGCTTCTGAAGGCAACTATCAGCCTTAATGACTTTTATTTTTCCTTAAAGGGGGTCCATCCTGTACAGGCTTTCAAAGAACAATGCCAGTGTAATATAATATCACAATTAACAGTTCTTTTTACCACCTGAAAACCAAGAATTGCTGAGAAGAATATTAGCTGAGCCAGTACTTTGCATTTTATTCGTCACAGCTAGCTGATTATTTTGCACCCTCCACATGAAGACTTACCACATTTTTCAGCGTTTCCCAAGAACGCTGCAAATCATCCAATTTGGCACTAGCAGCCGATTCTAAGCCCGGTTCATAAAACTCGTGGGTGGCTGAAGTGCTGGGTTGAATTTTAGCAGCTTCTGACTGCAATTGTTCAGCAGATAAGGCCAACTGTTCAGCAGATAAGGCTTGGTAATAAGCAATGTCCTACAAGCATGAAGCACATATTTCAATATGTATTTTCAAAACATAAGATACTTCATAAGAATACCCCCCACATACTGCCCCATTGCACAAGTCCATTAAAATAAAGCCCACAGAGCCAAAACCACCAGGAAACCTCTGAGCAACACAGTAAATAAGTATTTAATAGTAGTACATTGAGAGTATTGTTTGGAGCTTCACTATGATGAAGATTGTGGATGCATTTTTTTCATGTTCATATTAGCTAGGAGGTGCAGGAGGCAACTGTGGACAGACATGGAAAAACTGGGAGGGGAATGCTACAAGTGGGAGTGTTGTTCTAGCATCACCACAACTACACATGGGGAAAACCCATCACAACAGGCAGCGGGTTACCGTACTTTAGATGGCCATGAATATCACCCTAATGAACACTAGCACAGAGAAGGCAGCAGAAGAACCAAAAAGGAATATACTGAAGGACTCGTCAGTGATGTAAGAAAGAGTATGAAGCACTAGTATATAGTAAGCCTTCAAAAAACAGGTAGTCTAAACTACCTTATCAAAGATAGTGGAAAAGGGGACCAAAAGTGCTAAGGAAAATGGGCAAGTGTTCAAATTACCATTGAAAATTCATGGTGGAACTGTTGCCCACTAATATTTCTATACTTAGTGTATGGGTTTTTCTTCAACTATCGCAGGTGACAATTAAAAAGATCTACAGATAATGTAACATTAAGGAAACAGGCACAGTATCTCTATTTAAGTCAGGAAAGCAGACTTGACAACAAGGATTATTTCAAACTGAAACCAGGCATGATAACTACCACCACACCTATTTGGAAGGTGAAAAATGCTACAACCTTCCTTCTTCTCACTTAGTAGCCCCACTTAATGAACTATCCTCCAGACCATGCAATGCAGAAGCAGTTGTCCAGTTTCCTCAATAATTTTGAATTTGTAAATGCCCCTGGTGAAAACTTTAAGACGCAGTTTTTCTGCCAGTGAAATCAGTAAGAGATTTTCCACTGATTTCTGTTAGGTTGAACCAAACCTCCTCTCAGGTAGCTCTCAGAGTTATCACAATATTTCCATAAAAAGTTGCTCAAAAATCTTACTGAAAATGTACTTGGAAAAATCCTCCTCCGATGACTGCATGTCCTGGTTTTGGCTGGGATAGAGTTAATTTTCTTCACAGTAGCTAGCATAGTGCTGTGTTTTGGATTTAGTACCAGAAGAATGTTGATAACACACTGATGTTTTCAGCTGTTGCCAAGTAGTGCTCAGACTACTCAAGGACTTTTTGAGCTTCTCCTGCTCGGCCAGGTGCATAACAAGCTGGGAGTACAGCACAGCTAGCACAGCTAACCCAAACTGACCAAAGAGCTATTCCATACCATATAACGTCATGCTCGGGGGGGGGTTAGTTAGTTCGGTCGGTTATCCTCCAGACCATGCAATGCAGAAGCAGTTGTCCAGTTTCCTCAATAATTTTGAATTTGTAAATGCCCCTGGTGAAAACTTTAAGACGCAGTTTTTCTGCCAGTGAAATCAGTAAGAGATTTTCCACTGATTTCTGTTAGGTTGAACCAAACCTCCTCTCAGGTAGCTCTCAGAGTTATCACAATATTTCCATAAAAAGTTGCTCAAAAATCTTACTGAAAATGTACTTGGAAAAATCCTCCTCCGATGACTGCAAAATTCTCAAATTGCTTCTTTCCTGACCGTCTATGATGGGGAGGAAAATTCAGCATGTCGAGCCATGTGACAGAGAGAAAACCAAGTGCCTTTCACTTGACAGCTTACAGAGCTGTGTCTACCAAATAGACCACAGACCATTTGCTGTACTGCAAACCTAAGAGTATAATTGTGTTTAAATACCTGAAGGGAGGGTGCAAAGAAAACAGAGCCAGGCTCTTTTTACTGGTGCCCAGTGACAGGACAAGGGGCAATGGGCAGCAACTGAAACACGGGAGGTTCCCTCTGAACATCAGGGAGAACTTTTTTACTGTGAGGGTCACTGAGCACCGGGACAGGTTGCCCAGGGAGGTTGTGGATTCTCCATCCTTGGAGATACTCATAAACCACTTGGATATAGTCTGCTGTATGTGGCCCAGCTTGAGCAAGGGGGTTGGACCAGAGGACCTCCAGAGGTCCCTTCCAACCTCAACCATTCTCCTATTCTGTAAAGGTGTATAAAAGTTAGGTACTAAACAAGACTACTTCTGAGGTACCAGAGCTCAGAGTAGAATTAGGATCCTAATTTGGAGCAGAATCTTTATTTCCCAATTTCATGTCACTATGTTATCTAATACTATACGTGAACAAAACCAAACAAGCTCTGGAAGAGCACAGAAGCCAGATCACTCTCCAGGCACAGTCACCTTTTGGGCTCTCTTTCTAACCAAACCTAGGGAGCTCAGAATGCCCATCTGTTTCAGAAAAAAAAAAAACATCATCCAGCAGCTTCACAGACAGGGTTCTTCGGTCCTTCCTCCAAGAATGAAGAGACTTATCAGGTTATCTGCTTCATGTACAGACATTTTAACAATTAAAGTGCTGCTCACAGATCACCGCCAATATTTTTAAAGGGAGGCAGCAGGCAAGACTGTATTTTACAGACAGCTCGATCACACATCTTTACTGAGGATGCCTGAAAAAGTTAATCTCTCCAGAGAAGCAGAAGACTGAAGAATGGGCAGCACACCAAACTGTCCAAAAGTGTCAGATGACACTTCTCCAAAGGCAATAGTTGGGAAACTTGAAAAAATTAATGATGAAAGTGTTTACAATGTCCAGGAGCCAAGAGCAAACAGGTAACAGCTTAGCACAGCATTCAGTACTGCAATTTCAGAATTTTTTCTCTGACCACAAGTGATCTTTCCAAGTCACAGTGAAAAATTGCACCAGTGCAGGCAACTTCTCATTTTGCCTTGTCTGCAGCTACTCTCCAGCCCTCAGCTAGTCTTCTCTCAAGGGCAAGAGAAAAGCTGTGCTTCTGAGACTTCTTAATCATCATGTCCAGAATAAAGGCCTTGCTTTTAGGGGAAAGCAATCCCTTTCCCCATCTTCCCAACTACTTTTTGGAGTAAACAACATGGCGGTTTCTTTTTGGTAGGGCTTTAATGCTGATAGTGTGTGAATGCAGACCTTCTTACACATAACAGATTTTGTTCCCCCTATAAAGGCCCTAATGTCTCATGCCCTCTTTTACAAAAATTAGCTAATGAAAAATACTCAAGCTTCGTTGTTTGGATGTAGAGGTAAAGGGTGTGTTTAGACTTCAGAAGATACTTAACAAGGGCTGTTGCACCCTCGATGAGTTTTCGTAAGGAAGGAGAAAGAATGATTAAGCAGATGGTGAACAAGGAGATAGAAAGACATTTAACAGTGACCCAGTGCTGAAGACTTGAATCACAGGATCAGCTGTGACCGCCAAGGCTTTGTGTCAACACTTCAGCTTTTTCAATTCAATTGCTCTGCATTATGCATATGGAAAATAAGTTTTAGAAGAATGTGCTAAATTTTAATCAACTATATCTTCGGGTAAGCATAAGAAGTTTTAGCCCCAGAGGATTCTTATTCAGTACTGCAGCACAGATGAAGTGCCTGATTTTGCTATACATCAAAATAAACTGCTTTAAAGGACTGATATCTATTGCTGAAATATTATACACTGTGAAATCCCTCAGCCTTTTAAAAGTTAACGTTATTATAGTTGTTCCGCACTTCGCCCCCCTCAGCTGTTTTTAGAGGAGTTTCAGTACAAAACAAACAACCTGGGCAACTGTTAACTTATAACGGTGCTAGAGCTGTCACTTTCTTGTATTTATGGTCTTGATTTAATCTATTTCAATACATAGAACCAATATTTGCACTACTATGCACTTGCCATTTTTTTTATACTTTCATTACTTGTTAGCAATGTAAAAATAGTCCATAGATGTCTCAGTTCAGACTAGCCACATTTCACCATTAAGAGATGCTAGGAAGCCCCGATGAAAGACTGTACATAGATTATTAGGGATGAATTTAAAAATAGTCTTAACACCCAACCTTCCATCCCCCAAACACCCCACCTCATATGAGCTTTTATTTTTTTTTCTGAAGACTAGATTAATGTAATTCTTTGCTTTCTAGAATTCCTGTTCACATGTTTTTCCAGCACTTTGCAGGTGATCTTCCTGTGAGAAATTATTTCTCTTAACACTGGCTACTTTTTAAAACAAAACATTTCCAAATTACTTTCACTGAGTCTTTTACTGAATTAAAAATATTTTTAACTTACATTTAAGCTCCTAATTCACTATTCTCTAGATTTTTTTTTTTAACCAACCTTCTTTCCTGAAGTCTCCCTGGGCATTCATCATGATCAGCGCTGGCAGTTTCATAGTTTCTTTAGTTTTAATCTCATGTGAGAGTGAACCTAAGCATTTTGTAAGTAAACCACTGCATTTTGGAATGTTCTTCCGCTTATTGTTTAGTACGTGCAGTTCATTTCAACATTAACCACACTGAAGAAACCTTCATCTGTCAGTTTTTTTAGATTATTAAAACATCAGCAATTTTATCTCTTTCAAAGATCTGTTAAATGAAAGGCTTAATCTTTTTGTTCAATTTTGCCCTGTAAATCACAGGTTCTAAAACTTGCATTTTGGCATCAGCTGATGGTGCAACAGCATCTTCACTGGATTTTCCTTATTAATTCAGTTATTTTTTCATTTTCAGAGAAATGTAATGAACTGACACTGAATTTGGTTTTTAGAAAGCAAGCTGCTCTTGCTGCTTTAACTCTTTCATAAGACTTTTGCGCTGAAATATTTAGCAGCCTTTCTATTTCCAGTAAACTTCACTGGGAAATTTCTGATTAGCTGAAATGCCAGAACACTAGAAAAATCCTTCTCATTCATTATATAACTTTTTTATTATGTAACTTTATCACTTTATTATTATGAAGATTTTGTCACTATTCTTACTATTTCACCTTAGTATTCTTTCTTATGTCAGTCCATGAAAATGAATCATTTATGTTTAGCAACTTCTATAGCACCATATGCATCTTTGAAATGAGTGGAAGGAATTCGTGGGCAACTTGCTCAAACTTCTCTATTCCTACTCAGCAATGCAAGGCAACACCATTCTACCCTTTATGTTTGCAATGGTCAATTTTGGAAGCAGCCAAAATTAAAAAACAAACAAACAACCACAAAACCCATAACATGATGAATGCAGTGAGGTGGCAACAGCTCCTAAGGCTCATTTTTGAACTCCTAAAGTGTAATATTTTGTGTGTGTCTTCATATGCATGATGCTCAGTGAGCTGGTTCATCACTCACATTTTAATCAATGCTGATGTACACTTGTTCCTATTAGAAGTGCCAGAGTCCTCAGTTTTGATTTAAAATCTAACTTTAGCGGTTTCATTGATCTGCTTCATTAGCACTTAAAATAGACTGTCACTGAAAGTATGGAATGAACAATACATGAAAAAATACATGAAAGTTAATACTTGAAATGGTTTGAATTGGAAGGCATCAGACTGCGGCTTCAGTGATACAATGCCAATGGTACTGTAGGATAGATGTATATGGACATAATGCAATGTTTTATTATGGGCAGTACAAAATTGCATTTTTTCTCAGGAGGCAAGATTCCATTGAGTACTACTGTGAAAATAAAATTCAGGTTATAAATAGAAAATAGTAGTGACATGGAAGAGCTTTGTAACTGTCACTTAAAGTATATTTTTAAAAATAGTGAATAGCTGTAACACGAAATTTATACATTTTAAACTCAGAAGTCAATACCGGTATCCATTTTGGACTAGAACCTGAAGGTTCAGTTAGGTCAGAGGTTAAGCCTCAGAGCCTTGGAGCTATAGGTGAGTATTATTTCAGAGGATTAAATAAACCACCTGTGGAATGGAACCATGCACGTCTCTGAGCGACAGGCAGGTGGAGAAGAAATCTCACTGTTGGTTCCCTCCTCCCCAGACTCCTCAGTGACAGGGGAGAGCAGCGTGTGACAGCGACCAGCAGTCATCTGCCACAGGAACAGCAGCCCCAGAGCACAGGAAGAAAATCAATTACCTCGACTTAGGTTTGACTTAGATTGAGAGCAAAACAAGAAAAACAACACACGGCCAGAATGACCATGACATTATTTAGTCATACTTAACACTATTACATTTACCAGCTTAAAAATCTGGTTGAATTAACAGTCTCATTTACTTGTCATACTTCAGTATGAACATGCTCTCCTGTACCTTAATGAATTTAAAAGAAAATGTACAGCAAGCAGCTCAATAATAACAAATTAGTGTTTGTCGAAATGTCTTCTAATACAATCACTGCTGCATATGGAAATGCTATGGAGAGCTACAGAATCATGCAGTACTGGCCTCAGTATCCAGGCCTGGTTAGAACAAAAAGGAATAGACTTAAAATATAAAATACACACATATTTTTCTTGTTTCCCCAATGCTGTTCTGCAGTGATAAATCCTGAAATCCACACTCTATGTTCACTCAGACATACGTCCCAATAGCATCAGCAGTATGTTTGTAATGAGACCCAATTAGAGACAAACAAAAGCAGAGTAATTCAAACACAAGGCCTCTGGCAGTACTTAGCTAGATTTCATTTCCAACACACTCATCTGAGAATATAGCAGCATACTGTCAATTATCACATCAACATTTTAAGACAAGAGCTTTAAAAATATGTTATGTAAAACCTATACACTGCAACATGCTATGAAATAATATTTATTCTGGTCTTATTCCTGCAATTCAGTAGTTTCTTAGTGTTTGCTCTTGCATGCTGACAGCTATGAAAAAGTACTACATTTGCATCTTATTACAGATAACTTCCACTGGTATTTGCCTGTCAAATAACTTCATCCTTTATCAACAAGTCTTGAAAACCCATATAAAGCAAAATACAATAAGGGGAAGCTGCAGCTTGTTTGGTTTGCACACTCCAGCCATTTCAAAAGCAAAATGTAGACACGAGCTGTGGCAATTTGCTACACAGGAGTGTCGCAACGATGCAAAAGCAAGCGGCTCAGATAAACAGTACCGAGACCAATGCATTCCTTACCATAACCACTGAGGGATGAGTGGGGTGTGCTGGGAGCAGGTCTGAATCCAGCTCCTCCATTCCCTCTGACAGCCCCTCCACTTCTGTCACTGTCAGCAGCATGGTGGCATGTTTTGCTTTCATTGTCAGCATCTTGCACTTGGAATTCAAAGCAGCAATTTGCTCCTGGTATCCTTTGATCTTCTGAGCCAGCTCCTGAGGAAACATTGTTTTTTCCCTAATGCAAAGGCAGCCAATAAAGGCCACAGGACGCGCAGCATTTCGGCTTCTGTGGCGAAGGCAAGCTCTCCCCTCCAAGCCCAGGCAATAACATGATAGCGCTGCCTCTCAGACACCGCGCACGAGCCGCCGCGCTGGCTGACAAGCAGGATGTTGATCGTGGAGGGAACAAGTCAGGCTGCGTCTGGCTGCACAGCTAAACCGCAGAGCCCAGCGCTTTGAAGCGAAACCGGAAAAGTACTGCAAAAGGCTTGGCGTGCACGGTGATTGCAGAAGGGAGGGAGGAACACCTCACGCTTGCATCCAGCCTGAACCTGACACCAGGTCTATAAGCTTCAGACTGCAGCAAAGGGGAACATCACTCCCTCTTCCTGTCCCATTTTTTCTCCTCCTGTTCTATTTCCATTTATCGGAGGAAGAGGAAGCTTCTCTGCATAGTGCATGCCATGGAGATGAGGTCATGTGGTAACCACAGCTGTAAAAAATGCCCCATTCAGCTCTCGCCAGAAAGACTGGATTGTTCAAACAATAACTCACAGGGTCTAACAAGTTCAAATGTGATACGAACAGTCAGTCACATAAGATTAAATGCAGACTGGATCACTTTTTGCCAGTGTTTGGATAAGCTATTGCCCTGGTTTCAGCCGGGATAGAGTTAATTTTCTTCTTAATAGCTGGCATAGTGCTGTGTTTTGGATTTAGTACGAGAAGAATGTTGATAACACACTGGTGCTTTAGTTGCTGCTGAGTAGTGCTTATACTAAGTCAAGGATTTTTCAGTTTCCCAAGCCAGACAGCAAGGAGGTGCACAAGAAGCTAGGAGGGGGCACATCCAGGAGAGCTGACCCAAAGTGGCCAAAGGGCCATTGCAGACCATATGACATTGTGCTCAGTACAGAAACTGGGGGGAGTTGGCTGGGGGGCAGCGATCGCTGTTCGGTCAGCGGGTGGTGAGCAATTGCATTGTGCATCACTTGTTTTGTATAATCTTTTATCATTATTATTTTCTCTTCCTTTGCTGTCCTATTAAACTGCCTTTATCTCAGCCCATGGGTTTTACTTTTTTTTGTTCCCTCATTCTCTCCCCTATCCTACTGGGGGGAGAGCAGGGAGGGAGGATGAGCGAGCAGCTGTGTGGTACTTAGTTGCCAACTGGGGTTAAATTATGGCAGCTATATTTTAATTTCGTTTTGGTTTTGTGTAAGTCTTCAGAATTAACAGCTGAACTGCACACAGTACTAACCTTTCTTTAAAAAGAGCTGGCGAATCTGGCCTAAAGCAGAGCATATTTTAAAATACTGGGTTTTATGGTTACGAAATGGTCAAGCACCATCATAAGTTTAAGTTTAGTCAGAGAAGAAAGATGGAAATGAATAGCCTTAGAAACTAACTTGTCTTCTCTCCTAGCCTGTACTGCTGCCCAGTTCAGTGTCCAGTTTCAAAGTTTTCAATTAATATACTTAAAATAAAAAAAATGGTGGAAGATTTTTCACATTTCTGCCAAAGCTATTTTTCCTGTCTCCTCAGGGGCTCAGTAATATGATAGCATTTTGATCTATGAAGCGAAAACAACATTTGTATAAGCTTGCCTGCTACATCAGTGATTATTCATTCAAATTTATATTACTGCTTTATTTCTATATCTGCTTTCATTTCCACAACAAACACAAGTTTTCAAGGCAAAATAGCAACAGGTTGCAAGATCTAGCAGGTATAATAATAAATAATGTCAGTATCTTTTAAAAAGTAAATAAGATTACTGCTGCAGGCTGGAAAAAATAAAAGAATTTTTTTGTTGTATAACACTTTCAGGAAAGCATTTCCTCAAAAACACAATGCAGAACAGTCATAGTGAGAAATACAGAGTTAGAATGGAAGCAGCACAAAGACAGAGGATGACACTTTACTGCTTGGGTTTCAGTGGTTCCTGGTCACTGTCTGCCACATTAGAAACAAAAGGAGCTCTCTCAGAGCTCCAAGGCTTACCTTTGGAGACTAAGCAAAGCCTTGAGCATAAAACACCAATTAGATCAATTGAAAACCAAACTGCAATAAAATCAAACCAAACCCTAACTTTAATGTCTAGCAGTTGGAATAGTTATCTGCTCTAATTGGCAAGTACCAGTCATTCATTAATGCTCAGTGAATGACATCTCTAGGGCTCAGTGGGAAATTACTGTCATTCAAAATACTCACTTAACTCCATCAATATTACTGAGATGCAATAACATCTGTAGCATTAATGTCCAATACACTGAGTATCTAACATACCTCTCTCAACTGAAAACAAAGAAAAGGAGGCAAAAATGTGATTGTCAAAAAAATAAAGCAACTTATAAAAGCAATGTCCGACGAGGTACTGTATTATCCATTAAAATAATTCACAAGTACGGAGATACTTGCCCACATTCTTATCTGAAAGTCTAAAGAAACATGGTTCAGCAAACATAGTGCCAGAGTGTAACCAGTTACATGCATGCATAGTCATACCAGCTTCCTATAAACCAGGGTGTACTTTACTTCTACTTCCTTCCTGTTATTTAAAGTCTAAATCTAGCTAGTACAAATTTCACGTAAAGTTCTTCTTGCTCATGCGGGCTTCAACAGGGAATCTGGTAACTGATGTTTTCTTAAGTTAGTAACACAAGTAACATGCATCTTGACAGACTTGCCTTTTGAAGTAGTATAATAATGTAGGGTTCAATAATATATGCCCTTTATGCTATGCTTTTCCATAGGTATTTAGCAAACAAAATATGAGCCAAAAATACGTGCGCATCAGCCTATCAAAACACCTTACCCCTAAACGTTGAAAGTTTGCAAGTATGAAACCTTTCCACTCTGGCTGATCCCACATGTGCAAAGGAGTAAAGCTGCTGTCTTCCTGCAGACGTTTAGAAGGACTCCTAGCTACTGAACTTGTTCAAATGCAGATGAAGCTTCAAGCTGCCCCATTTTCAGTTCCTTCCTCCCTGCAGCATCATTCCTTCCTCTAGCAATATTACCCTGTATCCCTCAAGTGACTCTCCTGCATTTACTGTTCCAGAACATTTGAACAGAGAATAGTAGCATTTTTAATTCAGTACTAAACCCCCAGAAGTGTTTAAGCAAATTGCTCTGCATTTATACTAACTTTTGTAACAACTGGATAGAAAATGAGCAACACATACAACATTAGGTTATATTACAGAATAGCACAGATAGCTTTTAATTCAGAGGTAAAAAAATAGTGCCATCTGGTGCCAGAAGTGATACACAGAGTTCAGTGGTGCATCTTCTGTCCCAACAACATACACAACAAACAGGGGATGGGGGAAAGGGGGTCAGGAGCTCCCATGGCAGCAGAGCAAGAAGGCTGCACAGAGAGTACCCCGGCTCATTCGAGGGCTGAAGTTCAATGAGTTTGAGGGCAGGACCTGTAACTCCACAGGACAAAACTCTTCCCAACAAAGACTTTAAAAGAACCCTTTGGAGTGAACTGTTGCAGAGCTTTCCTCCAAATCTACTGTGGTTTTCATCTGATTCAAGTCCCTTTGTGTTCTTTTACCAAACATTACTGGGACGGAAATGAGTAAGTGCTTTAGGATATACATATAAAAGGGTCGCTGAACTAGCAGTCATCACCTGACTAACTGCTCAGCATTGACTTCTGGGACACTCTGCAGTCAAGCACCTATGTTAACTCTCCCTTAATTATTCAATGCTTTCGTTTGTCATAATGTTTCCCGGAGATAAGAGCACATCTAACTGAATAAACAAATGAATACTCCACACCGTACCAACAGCATGAGTTTCCTATCTGGTATTAAGCTATCTGCTCCACTAGCCTTGAGCAAGTCTGAAAAGCTACTTAGCAAACTTATGACCATTGCTTACGAAAAGGTTTTTGGGTCAATGGGTTGCCATTGAGCCCACGTTGTTGCATTTTCGTTCTCTTACCTCATGATGTGAAATCTGGACCTGGAGTTCCTGGATGTTGCTCGTTGCTATTGGCTTGTCTTGGATCTCACGATGGGCACTCTCTATCATTTGCTGTAAATGTTTCATTTCTTGCTCATATTGCTCATACTGAACCACTGCTTCCTAGAGAGGGAAAAAAAACATTGAGTGTCTACATGAACATAGGTATTTACTTGGTCCAAGCATAACTGATCTCCCTTCTGAAGTGAAGCACATTTATATCTATCTGGCACTAGCAAGTGGATAAGCATCGCAAGACTACAGTCAGGAAAAAGTCCGTTCAGAAATACTGTGAACTGCAATTAATTCAATGGTTTCATTTATTTAACTGTTTCCGAAAACCAGTTCACATATCATGATGTTTTAGATATCCAATATAAGGAGCTAGAACTTCTGCTTCCAACAAGTATCTGCATCAAACGTATCCACCAAAAGACAGCATTGCCTAGTCTCCTGGTTTTACTATAAAGCATTTTCATCTGCTTTTTTCACTTCAAGCCTCCATTTATGAAACAGAAAGACTATATGAAAAAGTTAGATTTTGCGGAAAATGCAGCTGGGACACAATTATGAAGATCGATTCAGACCATCATCCTACCGGTGTGGTATCATTTCTTTCTATTATAGATTCACCAGCAGGTTGTCCAACCTGTTTTTAAAACTTTTCAGTGTGACATTGTATCCTTCCTTGTACTTAAGTATCATTAAGTATACTTAATGTTCGAGTGTCTCTTCTGTTACTCTCTTGAAGCTCTGCAGTTGTACCCTAGCTCACTATGTATTTTTCTATCACTAAATAGCAGGAAGAAAAAAGCTTATTCTTTTCTTCTTTGGAAATACCTTTTCTGTGTTTGGGTATGAATTTGAACAATCAAACAAACCCTAGTTTTCTTGTATTTAGCAAAACTTGAAAATGTGAATTTAATAGATGCTGAATGACTCCAACGTCAGAAAGCAAATATATATGAATTTTAAATAAAGAGAAAAGAATCGTTATTTTTATCCTAGAAAGCTATTTAGTTAACTCAATAGTTTTTATGCAGTCATTATAAGCAGTTGATGTTATAATGATATATTAATTTCATTAACTGATTATATATATTATAAAATCAACCTGCATACAATTGTATATTAGCTATTTTTCTGGTTAATCCTAACACCACTACAAAACCCATAGCCAGATCAAGGAGAGAACAGAGATGAGAGTCTGATGAGTAAATCCACAATTAACGTGACCGTGAATGTTGAAACACCAAAAAACATGGAGCCTGAGATGACTAAAACTTAGTGGGGAACCTCCTAATGGTACCGCATGGAGGTATGAAATTCTCTGTTTCCATCTCGGCTCCTATGGCACTGCTCAGGCCACTCAGAGCAGTTTACGGGAGGGAGTTGCGCTTGCCTGCATGATGTTGCACTGCTGGATGGCAGCGTGCTGGAGGCGGCTGGCCTCCTCCTGGAGCCGCAGGGCGCTGTGGCACATTGGCAGGCCGGTGACCACCTCCTCAGGAATCCTCAGGGCGCTCTGACAGACCTGTACTGCGTGAACTTTTGGCTTCAGTGACTCCATTTCAGACAACAGATGCTGGAAACAAAGTCAGTGCCACAATAAGGCGGTTTTGCAAAACTTCCAGAGCATTTCATGCAGCAGAAGAAAAATAATGAGGGGTTCAAGCACTAAACCAAACGAATTTGATTATCCGTTTTCTAAATTGAATATAAACAGGACACACTTTGTCTGGAGTTGCTCATTCTGAAACGAGCATTCTTTTAAATATTAGTTAAGCAAAAAGTCTATAAAATAGGAATGAAAATAATTCATGAAAAAGCATAGTAATACCTATTTCTAAGTGTCCAGGTACAAAAATATCTCTGTCAACACATTTGAAAAAAATATCTTCACAAAATCCACAAATCAAAGCAGTATAGGAGTATTTATGTATACATTATGTATACACATATTTAAATGTTAAAATCCAAGCGGAATTCCCTGCTGAGACACAGGAGCACATTTTCAAACCAGCAAATGAAACCTGTGTTCACAGCCTTCCTTTGAAAATACAAACCATGGCTGAAAATGTTGCTTAAAATTCAAAAGGCAATCAAACAGAAAGAAACACAGCTACACAGAAATCTTTTCCTTTGAATAATTATGTGCTGGATGCTTTGTTAATAGTGTCTGTTCTGTTCACAATGTCCATTCAAGCTGTCTGTTCATATGCATGAGAAGAAGAGAAAGAGAAATGACTGGAGAATAGATTTGATCAGCATTCTTTTTATCTTCATTGGGGAGTTTAATGTATTCACAGATAAGAAAAGAAAAACAATTTAAAAAAAAAAAAAAGGCAAAGTTGGTGAAAAGGGCCTCAGCACATGAGAAAAAGATTTTAGGTTCAATAGATCTAAATCAGCTACACAATGTACGAGGCAAACAGGGATAAAGGGACTGGTCATCCCTCTTCTCCTATACCATATGCAGAAAGATAGCTAAGTGGGTCTGAAGGGCATACTGATGAGAGGATTGTGGTTTGCTCTTTATTTCTGTGCCTTCATGACATATGGCGGATAATCTAACCAGAGATTTGGTATAATGATCTATTCCTCCGACATCACTGGTGAGGCCTCTCCCCAAGCAGGCCCCATACTGCTGGCAAAGGGTGCCTTTATCGTGCAGTTGGAACCCAGAGGTACCCTGGGGGCTGCATGCCAGCCAGGCACTCTCCAAGGCCCCCGCTCTGGTCTGGTGAAACAGGTGGGCAGGGGCTACAGCCCCTTTCTGTACAAAAGAACGTCATACTGTGAGACCTGCTAGGGCCAGGACAAAGAATACACATAAACAACAGTGTAAGCTCCATATTCCCTCACTCTTACAGTGAGTGATGTTTCACTTACACTCTTCAAAGCCATATTCTGAAGCTTGGCTGCAAGTCCCTAGAATAAAGGCTGCATATTTTAATCAAAAGGGAAAGCTCTGCACATTTCCCTTTTATTCATATGTTTTTCTGCAGATTTTAATCCTGTTGACATTTTTTTTTCACTGGCAGACTAGGACAGTTAAATCTCTATAGCATCCTAGAATCATTTAGTTTGTAAAGACCTTTAAGATCACCAAGTCCAACCATTAACCTAACACTGCCATCCCACCACTAAGCCATGTCCCTATATGAGCTTGCAGCAAGAAACATTTCTTAAGCAACTCAGAAAGGTATAGCTTGGGTTATTTTTCTTGTCATGAGACTGAGACCAAAAATAACAAATTGACAAATCTCTACAGTAGGCCAAGTGCAATCTAGAAAGCAGCAATGTCTTATGGAGGTAATTCAACTAAATATACAAAAATGTAGCTGGGCTTCAGGAAAACCGAATTTTCTCTTAGCTTTCCAGTTGATTATTGGGGAACCTAGCAACACATTATCTCATTGCAACTCTATATCTGTCAAATGGTGATAACAATCTAGACTTCCTTCTGAAGTACTTTAAGGACCTGTTGATAAAAAACACTGGGTAAGAACTGAGCTTTATTATTATTATTATTAACATGGACTAAACCTGGCCTGGATGTACATTTCTCAGAATTGCATCAACCTAAGAACAGACTCATAAAGGATTATACTTCAGTTTTTCCTATTCCATCCCTTATCCCCTTGGCAGTAATTTGGGGCTAGACCCTGAAAAAATGACCCACCTAAGAAACACCACAATCGGTCTCACCACCATTCATTATTCTTTGTGTAACCTCACGCTACTCAAGTGCTAACTTCGAGGTCCTGGGCTTTTACCTGTCTGTGAGAAAGTTGCTCTTTCAAGCTCAAATGCCCGAGCTCCGGAGAGGTCAGCGTGGCCTGGGCTTGCTCCAGAGCAGCCTGCAGGGCTCTCAGCTCAACTTCAAATTTCTTCATGTCCTGTAACACAACATGTTTGATTCAGGGATAAATACAAAAAAAAAAAAAAAAAAAAAAAAAAAAAGAAAAAAAAGAAAAAAAATAAATAAAAATATATCTGTCTGGATTGGAAATTGAGCTAATTTCATAAAGTTTGAGGCCTGGAAAGGAACTCAAGATGTCCTCTAGTCATCTTCCTGAAACCAGACAGGACATTACTGTTCAATCTTTACAGACTGTTCTTAAAGACCACTAGCAGTGGAGTCCCACTTATCTCTACAGACAACATATTCCACTGTTTCAGTACTCGTTTTTTGTAGAAAGTTTTTTTTGACGGTCTGACATGAAGTTATCTTCTGTTGCAATTTCAATCGTCCACTTACTATCCCATTAACAACAGCCATGAAGAACAAATAATTTTTATCCTCTCTGAATACATCATACGTTAGGATAATCCTTTTCTATGTACCTTTTCTACAAATTCATACACATATCATAGCCATCACTATCCCCTGTTCTTTCTCCAGTTGGTCCGCATCTTCAAGTGCAAAACTGGACACAGCTGAAACCCTGCTAGTGACCAACAGGTAGAACAAAAGGACTACTTCACATACCTTACAATTATACACTTTATTTTACGTGTGGTGTTTGTATTTTTTACAACAATGTGACACTGTTCACTCATTTTTTCATGATCCACATTATTAAACTTAAGACATTTCAACAGGGTGCCTCAAGCCAGTAGTGCCTCATTCAGATACACACATGCTTGGGTCTTCCTGTCTAAACATAACCATTTGCCCCTGTTCCTGTGAATAGCAGCCTAATTCCTTCCAGGTAGTCCCTGTACATCTGGTGTTGTCTAAGCATCCCCAAAGCCATGACTTCTAAACCACCATCCAACTCATTAATGAAAATATTGAATAGTACCAGACGCAAAGGAAAATCCTGCAAAATCCTACTCGATGTAGCCTTTGGGGCTGTGAACCATTGATAATTATGTACCAGGTAAGTTTTCTTGCCAGTGTTACAGCTACCCATTGTATTTTCAAATAGATAAGCTTATTAAATTTATTAATAACAATATCACGTGAAACATCATTAAAATCAAGATGTATGACATATTGTAATTTATCTACAAATCTATTTATTATTCTCACATTAAATTGCACACTTTTGATGTGATTTTCTTTCTTCATAAATCTATTTGACTTCTATTCCATGTTTTCTTATAAGAATTTACAAATAGTTTAGTCAATTGTTCCAGTGTTCCTCTGAGAACTGGAGCTGGTAAGTTTTACTTCTACTATGCTTACTTGTATGCAAATCTCTGGTTTGTTCCATGAAAAACAAATAAGAAACCCAAACAAACCAAGCCTTCAGCTCATAAACTGTGCACCGATTTGTGCATATGTAATGGAAAGATATCTTCTTCAAAGCCTCTCTGTTACACTGTTACAGCTCCTGCAGCTGCAGCATTTCTGCTGTGTCCTATAAATGTTGTGAAATAAGAGTCAAATGTGGAGAAGGACCATTTTTAACCTTAGCTGTGATTGTCCTTACAACTGGTGATTGCCGATTCTCTTAGTTGCCTTTAGGTCTTTTCCTATTTAGTAGTGTGCAACTGTAGCAGGTGACAGCAGAAGAACCCCTATAAATATACTAATTATACCATTCCAATATTAATTTTTTTCCTGAATTACTGTATCAATTTAAAAAAAAAAAAAAGGTAAAATGTCTTGCCCTGCAGGTAAGAGCAAGTAGAAAAGACTTCTGTGTTTTTCCCTGTGTCTTGCACCAGTCCACCACGCCCTTAGGCACAGCATAGGCATAGCACACATTTAAATTAACAATAAACCCATATGGTAGAGCTGTACAGAAATGTGAGGGGCATGGAAAAGCATTTTCATTCTTTTCATTGCACTCCTGTGTAGAGGCAGGTCTTACATTATGGAGTCCTGGTCTGTTCCAGTACTGATCTGAGTTAATAGATAGCAGGCTTTAGATATCTTTTAAGAGAAAAATAAACAAAAGGGCACAGTATAAGTTTCAAGTATCTAAACAAAGACGCTTAGTGCCATTTGAGACACACCACGATCCCCAACACATTCATCCAGAATGGGAAGATATGACAGGACCTGCAGGAACCTTGTCCCCATCTGGAACAGCACCTGAAAGCAGTATCTTAAACGGTGAAAGATATCTAACTTTAGACAACACAACCATGACCTTTATAGACCACAGATAATCTGCACTCAGAAAGTCTCAGAAACATGCTGCACACACCGCCCTTGCTGTCAGCTAGCATTAGAAAAACTGCTTTCATATACCTTGGCAGCATCTTGGAGATTTGGTAGCCGTGCTTTGATAACTTGCTGTAATTCCTCTGTCCGCCGCCCCAGTTCCAGCACTTGCTGTGACATTCCTTCAGTACAGTATACACTTGCCAGATACTCAATCCTCTCACTCATGGCCTCAAGATCACTGTGAATCTCCCCGGACTCATCAAGCATACTCTAGATGGAGATATGAACAAATTAAATTCCAGAGTTTAGCTTCAGATTAAACAATCTTTAAGCACATTCTTGTTCTGCAAACTCCTCAATTTGTACACATCTGTAAGCATATGATTAAGTTCTACTAATTTCCTGGAAGGCTTAGGCAATATGCTTAATTTTGAGTGTATGCTGAAGCGCTTCAGCTTATGGAGACTGGGAAACAAAAGAGTAAGTCATGAAGCTTCAGCAGTTGTACTTACCAACACATTCATTTTAGTGTTTTAGTTACGCTTGCCTGTAAAAATATAATATACGCAATCTATGGATAGGACTTGTTCTGGAAGCATGATGTACCTGATAGGAAGCAGCAGAAAGCATTTGGGTGTAGTGTTATAGCAGGGCAGCAGTCATTAACGTTGCTTAAAAAATGGCTGTCAAAGTGTTCTGTGGGATGGCATTGGTTAAGCCTGTATATTTACTTTGTCCCAGTGTAAGTGAATGCAGCTGACTGTTAACTAATGTATATATAAACCCCATAATTAATGCGGTCTTATTTTGGTATTAGTGAGACATGATCATCTTATGACGCTCTGATTTGTTTCACGTGGTTATGTAACACCAGGCAAGCTTGAACCTTATCAAACTGCTCCACTGATCCTGCACTTACACATTCCACACAGAGATACACATGGAACAAATTGCACTGTCCCAGGGAGAGCAAAACACTCTGATGTGAGATATTCAGGAAGCAGCTGGAAGAAGCTCCTCCATTGGGTATCAGTCTGAGAACATTTGCTGTGAAACTCCTCAGGTGAGAACAAAGGTTATGCCAATTTAGGGTAAAGGAGAAAGGAAAAAAAAGCAAACCTGAAAATTGTATTTGGTTAACTAAGGTTTTAGAGGAATATTAGCTGCAGTGAGGTACTCAGTGTGATGTAGAAGCCAATGTACTTAAGTAAACACAGAGATCAACTTCAAATCACAGGGGTTTATTCAACAATATATCTTAATTTCAGTCTTCAAAACAATTGTCCAAAACAAATTAATCATTTTTAAGTCTTGGGGGAACAGTTAAAGAAAGCTAGCATTTTTCTCAAGGAAAGGAGGCAAAAAAGTGTAGGAAATAAAACTTCACTGCTCAGAAAATAACTTCTTTTACACACTGCCCTTTAAATTTCATAGCTCATATAATTACCTGGTAGGCTTTAAACTGATCACGAAGCTGAGAGGAAGAATTCCATGTTATACTACCGTGCACTAGTATATTTGCTTTCTCGATCCATTTCAGTATGAACTCCAGCATCTCATTGTATTCCTCCAAGTGTGAAGCAGCCTGGATATAAAAGAAAAATCCACTTAAGCCTAAGATTTAATTCTGTGCAGTTCTTAGAGAATGATAAACTTTTTTTCAATTCAACTTTTATTGCAATTACTGTTTTTAACTTGGAGATCATTTTAACAACTTTTCTTACTGTCAAATATAATTTAATCACTTCCGTATTTATGGAGTTAAAGTAGGCCTGCTACCAGTAACAAGCTTATCTATTTTAGGGGAAAAAAGGCACTACAAGAATGTAGGTCACACTGGGAGAGTGCACTGATGCTCGAATATATCCCTAGAGTGTACGCTTCCTGCACATATTCAGCCTCATACCTAAGTTCCAAAATACCTTCTTGCTCCGTTTGTGGCTCACTGCAAGCCTTTTTTATGTCATTTCTTATATTTCTTTGTCTCTTTCCATGTCATCCCCCAAATCACCTTTATTTAAAGCCTGCTTTGCCCACTCAGCCTGTCATATTTCCAAAAAGAGAAATCTTGCGCTTATTTCAAAATACAGGACAAAAGCTCTGCTTTCTGATTCATCCAATTTCTATTTAGCAAAGCACTATTTAGCTCCAATTTTCTCCTCACTTAGCCACAATAATTTCACTGATTTTCATTCATTTGTCCTCTATGAAGGACGGATCAAATCCTAGGTGACAGAACTGTATTTGCATGCTGTTTGCCTTACCTATAATTTTTTATGAGGGGAATTGGATTTCTTGGTGCTGAACAAAAATATCCCAATAGTTAAATGCCTTCACCAAATACCTTTGACTGAATTCTTACTTTGATAGCGATTTTCTACCTCTTTTAAAAACAAATTTTCAGAGGAAACTGAAAAGAATGTAAGGAAATGGTTAACTTTTTCAAGCCTTACAGAAGCTTCTTTTTGCATGCAGAAAAAAGAACTCATAATTTGTCAGGATATTGATGGCAGAATCATAGAAAATCCATATCTTTGCTTTTAGCTAGACTTTTTGGGGATAACAACAATTAGCAAAAAAATACATAAGAAAGAGTTTCAGGGACTTCGAACCATGGGGGAGCATCTTTATGAATGCTGAAGTGTTGCATAAACATCATGCATTATCAAGGCCACTGTATATATTCACCCTCTATAGGTTGTGACTAGAATAAAACAGTGTCTTCTTTTTTTTGCTTTTTTTTTTTTTTCTTTTGTAATGCTACAAATATAGGTCATGGTCATAGGACAGAGCCTCTGAAAAGTACAATGAGATAGTATTTCCTGGCATGCCACTGTTTGTGGGAAGCTCTGTAATCTTTTTAGGGCACCAGAGGAACCAACCAGCAGATGATTCATGGAAGAGGATGTTAAAGCAGTATCACAGAATTATTCCACCCTCCTGATCTGACCCATCTGTGCCATACCTCAAATGCCAATTTGAGGTATGATACAAGCCTTGATGAATACTAGGCAGATGCACCAAGGAATGCCTTTTCTTGCCTAAGTACAGGAAAATAAATGAGAAGTTTGCATGCTCCTTCTGCTTCTGAAAGGAAACAGCAGGCAGGATTTGAGATCATACCTGACTGAGCTTGGCTGCTCTGTACTCAGCCTGCTGTATGGTCTGCTGATGCAATGCAGTGAGTTTCCCGATCCTATTAGCCAGCTGCTTAGACAGCAGCACGTTCTGCTCTGCAAAGTCCTGGACTGATGCATCTAATTCCAACAGCTTTATATTGCAGCTGTCCAACTCTTCACCGAGGATCTAGGCAGAAAAACAAGAAAATCGGTGATCCAAGAAGTGTTAGTTTTCTGGTTGATTATTTCTAGTCCAACTTGCAACTTTTATACCCTGTCCAAAGTCTCCATAGTTTGTTCCATTTTTTATTCTGGCTGGAAACCAGCAACACTTGCTTAAGCAGGAAGACAGAACAGCAGGATGTTTGGTGATCTCTTAAATGTGTGCTGTTCCTCTTTCTTCTCTGACTTCCTGGCTGACATGGATAACCATTTGCCCGGCCATAGCAAAGACTACGAGAATCACTTCAGAGTGACATTAACTGTTCTTTGCCATTTTCTGTGTTAGTTTTTGAAATTAATGGTTAGCACACATTGCCATGTCAAGGATTTTTATTTATTGGAAAGGGGCTTTGTTTTGCTGCTCTCTTAAAATATACTCTTAGAAACTCAGAAATATGTAATTATTCATTAGTGCATTATAAAAACTTCCATTTGAATTTGAAACTTGCATTTTTAGAGCTTGATCTTGACACAGGAGCAGTCTGGATCATGCTAGACTTTCAACAGAAAATTCTTACCACAGTTACAAAACTTCAGAAAAGCTTAAACAGGAAACCTAAAATATTTTCTCTGTTTCTCATATATTGATAACACACTTAACGGGCTACAGTTTCTTGGGGAGGGGGTATTGGGGTTTTTTGGCATTTTGTTTTTATACCTAAGGTGTTAATGATTCATTGTTTTTGTAATATAAATAAAATAAATCTCATTAAACACTCTATCTCCTCTACAATTATCTTAAAAATATAAATTGGAATAATCAGAAAAAAATTATTCAGAATATGGCTCTAGCTATAGGTGCTTCAAGAAGGTACTTCAAATTCTTCATGTTAGGGCTGTCCTAGCAGACACACCTTAGAGTGTAAGTTATGATCAATCATTATGATAAACAAATATTATTCCATGAGCAGTAGCATGACTTAGTGACATAAGTGTCTACATGTAGACATAAAAACAGATGTTGAACTACTCATCTAAATACAAGGACACATGTATTTCAGGCAGGCATAAATAAATGTCTCTACTGTAGAAACGATGTGGAATTTATATGCTGTTTAAAAGCAAGGTAAGGATCCACTTGACTGGGGTCACATGGATGTGAAACAGATTTTTAATTTATTTTTCACAATCAGTTTCAGTGTTAATATAAAAATATTTACTGCTATAATCAAAGCCAACCCAGTCTCAGGAGTATCAGTTGAGTGCTCACATAAATGCAGTTGACAGAACTTTACTAAATCTCCTGTGAAAGAGTTTTATTCTACATAACATGGGAAAGCACATTTCACTGACTTTCTGCTTAATCACTGGGATCAGGGAGATACACCAGTTTTAAAGGGTTATATTTCAGGGACAGCTGCTGCAAAGCAAATGGTACTTTGGAGCATATTGAGAGCAACTCATAAAAATAAACAGGTAATTTTTGACATACCAGGCATGCCAAATCTTCTCCTATTTGGTGTGCTTTGCTTACTTTCAGACAGTAACTTGGTCAATTTTATCTTTCACTAGTTAAAAAACCAAATCAAATGAATAAAAAACCCCCCACCCTCAACCAACCTCTCCCTCATCTGTCCATCCCCAAAACCCCTCTGCTCTCATATGATAATCCTAAGTAACAGATGAGTTTTCTGAGTGTGGTACATACCTAAGATTAAGAAAACCTACAGAAAGAAGTACTTTGCATTACCCTTAATTGCACTAGTATTACTTTGCCTCATTATTGCACCAAGTGATATGAGATGGACCAATGGTTAAGTAAAATTCTATTTAACAAAAGTATAGGTGTACTGCAAAGAATGGTCTTTTCAGTACAGACTGGGAGAAGGAGCAGTTTGGGAACCTTTTAGGTTTTCCCAGATTGCAGTCATACCCATTATTTAGATGAAACAGCGTAACTTTGTCCACCTGACTTGCTCTTACTTTCAGTTACTTCCTCCAAGTTCTGCTACCCACTCAAGTCCCTGTATGGGCTAGTTTGCAAAGAATATAACTAAAAAATCTCATCAGTCAACCCTTATGGCTGTCCATTCTTCTGTTGAACTGCATTAAAAAATGTGTCATGCAATGCTTCACAAATACCACTTTGGCTTGAAGTAAATGTCCCAAATCAGAAGAATTTATAGTGTAATCAAATAAGGGAAGCTTTGTCTTACCTTTTGTTCAAGTTTAGCCTGCGCTATATCATTTGTTTTCTTTTTCAGTTTGGAAAGAATGGCATTTAGTTCATTTGCTATCCCCTGGATTTTCTGACCAAACTCTTGATTCAATGTTTTGATCTGCTGAGTTTCTCTTTCTTTGGTTTGAATCTGTCAAGAATAAGAATTAAATTCAGTCACCTGAAATCTCTCCTCCTGAAAGGAAATTAACTTTCATTTAACGTACTCTAATTTAAAGGAAGAGGGTAATGAAACTACTCTGTGTTGTCATAGTTTGACCACACTTGGGTACTGTATTTCACTAAGTTATAAAGTCCAAAGAAGGTCTATAGATCTGTAATGCATTTATCTACTATGCTTTACCTGATCTTGTACAGTTGCAAGGGCCAGCCCAACTTCTGCTAAATGAAGAGAGAGTTCAGAAGGCAAAACGGTATAAAGCCCCAGGTACTTATTCTGTTGTTGTTCAGCCATTTTTTCAACAGTCTGGTGATGAGTAGTTACTTCACCAAGGAGAGACTAATGACAGAAAAACAGTATTGTTAAGAACAATGGGAAAAACATGTCTGTGTAAACTTAGCAGACATTACATGTAGCTTGCAACAAAGCTAATTGCTTTCAAGTTTTTAATTAGTTCATTATGAAGAATTGCATCTTGGGATTCCCTGGGTTCTCATTTATGATTGATTGTTCAGTTCTCCATTCCCGTGTGACAACATGTGTACAGAAACTGTCAAGTTTTCAGCACCTCCAGTGAAACGAGTGCTTTATTTTGTTGCTTCCCTCCCCACCCCAAACTGCCAAGACAGGTAGAAAAAAAAAGTCACATTCTGTCCATTCACATTCTATAGTTCGCCCATATTTTAGATGAGAGGAGAAAAAATACTAAACAATATGCTAGTACATAAAATTGCATAAATGCAAATACTTAAATATATCTTAAATATCTTTAAAATAAAGCATTACAGCTCATCAGCTACGTCATGCTTTATGAATTTGCCTAGTGGTTTACTCCAAACCTAATGAATATTGTCTAATTTGAATTCATGGAGTTTTTGAACTGATTAACACTCACTAGCAGATTACAATGAAGGTAAATGTTGTCATTTAGAAATTGACAAATTTGATATACCTGCAACTCCTGAAGTTGAGTATCCACTTCTACATCAGGGCTTAATAAATATTCTTTTGTTTCCTGGATCCAGGACTTCACAATATTAATCTCTGCTTCAACCTCCTCACGTTCCTTAAGTTCCTGTTTCACCATCTTCACACCTTTTTTCACTTTCTGTTGCATACTTCAGAAACAAAGAAACAATAACTATTTGTGAAGAATTAAGCGATGTCTAAAAACATTGCTTTGTCAAAAAATATTGAAAAATAAAGATAATAACTGATAGCCCCACATCCAGAGTAATAGAAAGTGGGGCACTGTTGCAACAGACTACTAAAGCAGCACACTTAAACTTCCCGTGTTCATTCTTCAGTTCATTCCTTCTAATTAGCAGTTTTATGTATTTTGACATCGAGCGCACAGTTCTTTTGAAGAAAGGCAAATGCTTACAATACAGACACCTACATCTGAGCTCGTCACTACAGACTGCCCTTATTGTCAGGGGAGGAAGCAGGCAATTATAGGGCATGATTTAGGATGATTCATCGTAATTCAAAAAGAAACTTTTAAAATACGTCAGAAAAACTGCATCTTAGACCTGTCTATTTCTCTCCACTAATTAGAGAGCACGAATTAACCAGTTCGGATGTGGATATCTATAATCTCAAGTAACATGAGAAAAATTACACCCCTTTTGATGGGATTTGCATTGGCAGAATACCTAGGATAAGGCATGGATCAAACATCTGAACACCATTTCTGATCCAGGGACCTAACTCCACATTTCTACTAAGACAGAATTTCCCCACTTTCCTCAAGAACTTGGATCTCCCATAAAAAATAGAAACTTTTTCAGATGACAGTTCTGTGAAAGATCTGCAGGACTACTTGTAGCTCTTATGTATGTGACATGGATCTTACTTTGACATTCCCATATTTGATTTATGTTTGTATAACCTTGCATAGCTGAGTCACAAGCATGAGATCATGACAGACCCTATTTTTTAGAAACCAGTTCTAAGGGTAGAATGGAATTACGAAAGTGCTAGTATCTACACATTTTCTATAGGGATTGCTATTCCACTGTAATCAGTTATGCATGCACACAGTGAACTTTGCGCAGACTAGGTGCAGGGTTTACAGTTTTTTCGTTCTCCATCTCTCTCCCTCTTCCCACCATGGAAGTCCAGTTAATAGCACCTTAGTGCAGTTATGAGGTGGATATGAGCCCTGAAAATTAGCCATGAAAATTCCTGGCTTATACATGACAGGGAAACATGTTAGATTTAGATAAACATTTCTTTAACCACAGGGTGAAATATTAAGATATGTTTTGTTTGCATACGTGTTAAGTTCCCCTGTAAATTTCATGGGATACCTGCGTTTGGTACCTAAGTGCTTCCAGCAGAGGAAACAAAGGGATAAACTAATCTGAATTTAGGATACAAAAAGAGAAAAGGTCACTGTTAATAGTGAGATGCAATGGAAGTGTTTAAAATCAGTTATAACTTCAATATAATTCATACAGCTATTGCATAAGTTAGTATTATTATGCAAGGCAAGAAGTAGATATTCTAAAATGCATACTCCTGCTGATGGAAACAAAAGATAATGGTAAAAACATATTTCAAAATTAATTAAAGATCATTTAAAATTAAACTGATGCTTATTTTCAATATAATAACTAACATCTATTTTAAGCATGGTTATTGTTAATTATAACAAAAATGATACGTGAACTCTTATTAATGAATTGTAAGGTACTATTTTTCTAGGGAATCTTTTAAAATATTGCCTTACTTGTGGCATCGATCTTGCATTGCTTTGACTTCTTGTATGACCGGTAGCTCCTCCTGAGACGGAGGTTTTGTTTCCACATCCTGAAGCATGCTGACTGCGTGCTGTTTGAGCAGGCCCAAAGATGACAGCTGGTGCTCCACCTCCAGAAGGAAACTGCTGTGGTAATCCAAGAGTTCCAGGAGCTCTGTCTTGGATGTCTTTTCCACTGAGCTTTCTGGTAAGCGACCTTGCAGCTGATCTATTGCTATGGTGGCTTTCTCAATCTATGGAAAGAGATGCAGTCTTGGCAATAATGAAATTAAGAAGCTAGTACAACTGATACCAAAAGGTGCTAAACCCAGTGTTGTACATTTAGATGCTGTAAAACAGCGGCAGTATAAGGCTTGTGCAGCAGTCTCTAAAGCAAATATAAACCTCTGTTCTAATGTGCTAGATCTAGCCAGCTAGCCCTACCTCTTCACACTGGAATAGGACTTGCTAAGGGATTTTTTTGTCAAGTGATGAGCGGCTCCTAATTTTTCAGCATTTATTATCTTTATTGCCATAGGACCTAGAGCTTTATCCCTGGGCAGACCCGTATCTGGCACAAGTTACAAATTTAACAAAAAGATTATCCCCATTCTCAGAGAACCCTTAATCTGAGCATAAAATAATGAACAACAACAGATAAAAAGGGTCAGGTATGACATAAGGAAAAAAAAGACACATGATTGGTGTGTAGTGATGGGCAATAACACCACTGCATAAATTTGAAAATAGCAACTTCATACTCTTCAGGGGAAAAAAAAGAAAAAAAAGAAAGAAGACATTGACTTAATCTAGAATAGACTCAATGATCTTAAAGGTCTTTTCCAACCAAATGATTCTACGATAATGAGTCAAAACCTATGTACAGTTAGCAAAGGAGGTTTTACCAAGAACAGAAGTTACCTTATCATTTAAGCCCTTCCATTCCTGCACAGCATTTTCCAAAATTTTCTCTTGTTCTTGGGCTACATTCCGGAGCCGTGTCCAGCGCTGCCAAGCTGTTGTCATGGATCTACTTATAGTTGCCTTACTGGCATCATTGCTAACTTTTTCCAGCTGTGAAGCCTTTTCTTCTAGGGCTGTGATCTTCTCATGGAAAGAATTCACTACACATACAAGAGTCTGAAAAAGCAAAAATAAGCACTGTTTTCCTCTTTTAGAGAACAACTTGAAACTATTCAACACACTTGCAGGCAGATGAGCCACTTTTATCCACTTCAGACAAAGAGGAGGTACCCTACGCTGAGTGAGGTGGTTAGGTCTCTATTTTTCTTATGCAATTTATTAGCTACAGCTACTTGAAGGACCTGGTCCAAAATGCAACTCTCTGGAAGCAGCAGCAGTCTGGTGTAATCAGATTTTCTCTTCCTTGCTAGGCCCTCAAAAGGGATGGAAATGAATACTCAGGACCATTCTCATAGCAAAGACTGACTTCTGTTACAGTCTAAAAATGGAAGAAGCAATTCAGGTGTTTAAGCATACATTTATCTCATGTTTATCTCTAATGCCATTTTAGATGCCCAAGGATATCAGGATATTCTCATGAAGCTGCAGACATGATCTTACTCTTAGGGGAGATTCCTGCCTTCACAGTGACACAGCTGGAGACCAGGCAGGACTGGCTATATTAAAGCAATGGATTAGCACTCTAAATACTGGAGGGGAAAGTAATTCTTTTAAGTTAAGTTTCTTTCTTTTAGACTAAACAAGAGTTAATATTAAACCCCAACCCTTCCTGTCCTAGTAAAACTATTTCATGTGATCCAAAGTAGATGGACGTTTCTATTGATCTGAATTTCTTGTAGGGTAGACAATTTTTGGACTTACACACTCAAGGTTTTTAGGAACCTCCTGGTTCCTTCCAGTTCTCTACAGTCATTAAGCTGAAAAGCAATTAAAAATACCTGTTCCAGTTACCCCACAAATAAAACGTGTGTTCTGCACCACACAAAACACCTCTTGGTGTGCTATGACACAGTTAAGTGCTACAGGAAAAGATCTAGAAACAAAAATTCAGGTTGCCACAGGTATGGACCTACATAACATACATTTATTTTCACTGAAGGAAAAGGATTTAATAAATTTTTCAGTACCTTACCTTATGAGTTAGCAATTTCTCTTCTGCTTCATGAGAAGAAGTAGCTTTAGCTACTGAGAATTCAGATAATTTTTTCTCAGCTTCATTCATCACTTCAATAACCTTCTGTCTTGCTGTCTGGTACTCCTGCCACTCAGAAGCACACCTTAAAAATGTAGTTCCAGAAAGAACAATTTAATGCAATATAAAACATTTGAAAATCAGGAATATTGTTGCACCTAGTTTTCAATGTAACTGCTTAGTTTTACTGTTACACAGTATTTTCCAAGAAAAAGGAAGATTATTGGGAAGGAGCATACACAGAAGCATATGCTCCCGATTTTCAGCTGTGCCTTATAGACACAGCTTGGCATTTAATAGCCCTTGATTGACTTTTCCTCAGTGACTCTGTCTAGGTTGTGTTTTAAACCCACCCAAACTTTTGGAATCCAGAATATTCAGGAATAAGAAGTAACAGTTATGCTGGTTAAAAAGGTATTTACTTCTAGTTCAAAATATCTGCTTCAATTTCATTTGTTCTGCATAAGTCTTGTGCCAGGTGAAATAAGGGACAGTCATTCCCTACTCTTCTCGGTGCTGTTCCAAGCTTTACCTAATTTTATCATAGGTTCCTCAAGATCACATGCCTAGTCAGTCAGTGGCAGAAGAGAAAACAGAATCCAAGAGCTCTGAATCCCAATATCCACCTCTCTCATCAGTAGCACAAACATTTTACAAGCTCCAATTAATGTTGTGATCTCTTTCATCACCAACAAAGGGATCTTGAAAGAAAAAAAAAAGATGGATATGCCACCTTTTCCTCCAACGCAGCTACATTCTGCGTCAGCTGCTCTCTTGCTGTGGCTTGGATAAAGGGCTCTATCTCAGACACAAGGCCTTGTAACTCCTTCAAATGACTACTGAACTGACTTTCTCTGCTGAAAAATTCAATGTGGTTCCTTAGATTCTCCTCAGAGTTCTCAACATCAAGACCATTTCTTGCTAAATGTAGAAATTCGTGAGCATCTTCAAGCCAGTCATTTGCTATCTGCATCACTTGGTAGTATCTTTGGCAGAGGCTATATAATTTATTCAAGTTGGCCTGAAAGAAAAGGGAAAATTACAGAGGGTCACAGACATAAAATTCATGCAGCAACAAAATTATCCTCTGCTGAGAGTCTGGATTTTGCCCATTCTTGCTTTCTTTTCCCTTTATTATAGCTAAAATACAGGTCCAGAGAGACTACATGGAAGTAGGTTTTAAGTGAGTTTGCACTTCTACGTGCAGATACAAATGCATATTACGGAAGCCTTTCCACTCTGCCCCAAGTCACCCATGGCAACAGGCCATAATCTAAGTCATTAAAAAACCCAAACAACAGGATTATTAAAAATCAACCTTTTCATGATGATTACAAACATCAAGCCACAGAGTCATATTTTCCAGCTTCATGAGTGAGAAACTAAACACACTTAGGGTGCACTAACCTGTCTCAAGTGTATAGCTTCTTGAACTTCACCGTCTAGTTCCATCAGCTCAGCAAGAGTGTTTTCCAGATCAGCAGGTATCAGCTCTTTCGCTTTCATATATTTCTCTTTCTCTTTATTGCTCAGTGCATTCATTATTCTCAGGCTTGACTGCACTTCTTCCTGATGTATCTGAACCTTCCGGATTTCTTCTTGGATGCTTTGCAGTTTGAGGTCCAAACTCAATGTTTCATTAAGTTCTCCTTTCACCCATCTCAACCAGTCTAGTGAGCGGCAGATTTCTGTCTGGAAGTCTATGCTTTGCACAAGTCTGTTCTCACACTCCATCACAGTGTCACCAATGGCAGCATGCAAAGACTTCAGTTTCTCTTGCCAAGACTGCACTTGGTGATTTGTTGTCTCACATGCAGATGAGTCAAGCTGAGGAGAAAGGGCTTCTAGATGTTCAGTTATTCGCTTCAGAAGACTCTCTGAGTCTTGCAAACTGCCCACCAGAGAATGGTATATTTTCAACTTTTCTTCTATGGGGAGTGTTTCTTCATTTACCTTAATTTGCTCCTTCTTCAGAGCCTCTAGTTGTGCCTCAAACTGCCTACACATTTTCTCATGCTCCTGGCATGCCTCTATTGTGTCTTCCAACAGGTTGATTTTCTGTTCTATTTGTCTCTTCAACTTTTGATACAGCGTGACAAGTTGTAACATCTCATCTGGTTGCCATGGCTGGCCAGTGCTTCGAAAGGCCTCCTTCTTCTGGTTTAGTTCATCCACTGCTGCACCAAGGCTCACCACTTCACCTAAGAGATCTCTGTAGGCCTGTTGGAGTGACGCAGCTTCTTTGGCTAAAACAGCAGCTGGAGCTTTGTCCATGTTAATAAACTGATCTTCTAGCTCAGTCAGAGCTTTACTTGTCAACTCAATCAGAGAGGCATACTCTTTTCTGGCATAAATTGCTTCCTGAACTTTATATAATTTTTCTTTTGCCAGAGTAGTGACAATATTGAATTGCTGAGGGAGAAGGTTAAGTTTTTCATCCAGATAAGAATGATCCACTTCATTAAGTGATGGTAGGATTTCTTGGCCATCTCTTTGCAGTGCAAGTAACAGATTTTCATATTCTGGAGATTGCTCAAGAATCTGTTGATATTTTGCCAACTGCGTGTACAGTTCAGAGTTACTATTCATTACATTGACTTCTGGGAATGTGATAATATCAGCTTGTTTTAGCCAATGGCAAGCTTTATCCAAGTCTTCTTTGAAATATTTCCTGGAAACTATATTCTTCTCCAGGTCTAACAATCTCTGGTTACACTTTTGTAAAACAGTGTCATACACATTCTGTAGTTCTTGCAGTTTACCTAACACTTCACTCCTTTCTTGTTCTGTTGCTTCTTTCATTAAATCCCTTCCTTGAGCCCACAACCCCATGACTTCATTTTGATAAGCCTTCAGGTTAGCCTGGGTATTCTTACAAGTCCTGATCTGTTTGTTCACATCTTCCGGCAACAGGCAAATGTGTTCTGGAAATGTTACCTTCTTCTCATGCTGGTGAATTTGGTTTGTAGCCTGAAAGACTGCCATAAGAAACTGGGTCTTTTCAGACAACGCTTTATTCAGGTACTTTCTCCTCTGGCCAACCAGATCACTGAGACAATCTACATGGTGCTGTGCATCAGAAAGTGCTTTTTGCAGCTCCTGCCTTTCATTGAGCCCTAGGTTGGCCATCACCCTGTCAGCATCCTTCACAAGCATCTTCAGAGCAAGCTGTTTGGCTTCAAGCTCACTGCAAATGGTAAGATGATCCATGAGAAGACTCTGAGCCAAATCTGGAGGAGGGCTCTGTTTAAGAGCCTCTGAGATACTAGGTTGCTGCTCCTCTGCCCATTCCATTAGTTCCTGAAATTTGGAATGCACCAAACTGAGTTCTTCCAAGGTTGAAACAGAAACTTGAATTTTCCTTTTAACAAGGTCCTCCAGCTGAGTCCAGCGTTGCACGAAATGACCAAATTGCTCCTTTACTAATTCTTTATCGTCAAGATTCAGATGTTCTATCATCTTCTGTTTCTGATCTTTCAAATCTTCCAGAGCAAATCTCCTTTCCTGTAGTGCCAGTGCCAATTTTTGCAAAGCTTCAAGGTGCACGTTTGTACTTTCAGCATCAGATCTGTTATCAAAATGGACAGGACAGAAATTAGTTATTAGATCCTATCTCAGGATAGATGTTTAAAAGAGGTCATATATACCAAAATCAATATGATATAGATACCTACAGTTTTCACATTCTTTTGAAGTTACCAGTCTTGAATATTAAAAAGTTTTTTATTCCTCTCCCTTTCATCTGCAATGTGGTCATCAGGCTGACCATATAATTTAGCACGAATACTACAGAGTATACTGGTTATAGTGTACATATGAACAACAAGTACTGAGGTTGGAGTAAATCTTGTTGCATGACAGTGACAACAGCAGTAACAGACTCCCACAATTTTGCACAGAGCCGGTGTGTTTACGCTATAGAAAGCAGCTGCAATCATTTATCAAAAGGAACTAAACTTTAATATGGTAGCCTAGTAGATAAAACACAATAGCACAATGAAAACCACAAATGAAACACAACAAACACAAATGAAAGAGTTCAAACAAAATAGTCAAAATGCTTGAGATATCAGAAAATGCTATACCCAGAGATGGGATCAATCAGTACTTGCCTTAAAGACAAACACTGAAGATCTGGCTTCTCAAACTCTCTTTATTTCAATATAAGTAATTGTCCTATAATTAATGAGAGGCTTGCTTTTAATTAAGCACGGAAAAAGGGACTTTTGGTGGATCCAACCTAGAGAAACTCTGTAAAAGAGCTCTTTCAGCATATATATGCTAAGTCAGCTTTGTGCGTGCTACTTCTTTTTTTTTTACCTAGCCAGGTTGTCCCACTCTTTTGTGAGCTTTTCCAAGAAAACTTCAACTACATTCATGCGATCATGATAATCCCCCGTCCTCTGCAGATCCTCCTCCCTCTGTATGAGCAAACTGTGTGCCTGAAGGCAGAGGTCCAGCCACTGGTTGCTCAGCTCTCCTATGCCCTTGTGTTCAGGCGATTCCTGTCCTTGGGTTAGTTTGTTCATTTTCTCAGTCACAGAGGTAAGAGCTGACTGCTTAGACTGCAACTTCTGATTGAATTCCTGAAAAAGACACAAGTCAAAACCAATATGGTGACACCTATTCAAAATTATAAGATGAAATTTATATAAAAACTCTGAAATGAATAGTTTGTGTGAGGACTAATTATCTGCCCAGGCAAATGCTGTGAAGAGGTAAACTGGAAGAAGGGCTTTCTCCACTCCTGTAACCTTTCTCCTCATCTTCCCAGGTGAGGACAGGTTGGTTTTAGATATGAAAGCAAAGCAGAGCAGTTTCCAAGTGCCAGTGATAAACAGAAATCATGATCAAGTCACACGTTGTTGTCCAGGCTTCCAGACCGGCACAGCTCCCACCATACACTAAAACATGCAAAATACTCTAAGTCTCATGAGAGTTCTTTCTACCAGTACTGTTTCTAGCTCATTTTTTTCCTTTTCCTTTTTCATTAGAGACTAAAAATAGGAAGCAGAGTCCATGAGTCAGTGAGCCCCCACATCCATACTTTGGTTTGTTCCTACTTCTATAATAGCAACCATTATCGTTGTCATTATTGAAACAAAGCCAATGGTTATCTAGGTATGAGTTTTTGAGTTAATAAATAACTTGAGTGAATACATTGGAGTAAATAAGAGTCCATCTGCACACACATTTCTTACCGAATAAGAGGTCACAGAGAACCCCAAAAACGAATACACAATATACTGACAACTAAAACTAACCAAATATTTTTCAGCACTTACACACTGTCTTGGGTAAATATAATCTTTTCTCAAATTCTAGTTCCAATAACTGTAACTAAACAACCATGCCTGGCTCCAGCACTTTGCTGGGATGATGTATGATGGGTTCTGGAGAAGACATGCTACTGCCCAGCTCTGCCTCATTCCTCTTTGTGACTGCTTCAAATAGAGCTAGGCATCTTCAATTACCAGGGTAAATTCAAGGAAAACATGCAGATTGTGCCACATCTGCCAGTGCACCAGGTGCCTGCCTTTCATAATAATCCAAAGTTCCCAACAGAAATAGTGAAGAAATACAGACTCTCCCTTCTTTCTGGACTCTAATGATAGCTAGTGTAACATTCAGTCCACATTGTGCTGAGGTATCTTCAACACTATAACTTCGTTCAAACACTTGTGTAGAACAGACATGAAGAGGAAGTACTGCTTACTTTTCACCTAGCTCCTAGCACATCAGAAAAAGAATACAAGCAAAGTCTAGACCAGAAATGCCAAACTCAAGCATTTCATCATTTATCAAAGAAATAATCTGTTTTCCTGTTTCTTCTTGTTACTTTACTGATGTTTGTGATGTGTACAGAATGGCCATAAAAATTCTCTCATCTGTAAATGAATGAGTGAAGATCTGAAGGCATCTGTCTCCTTATTTTGGGTAAACTAAATCGGGTTTCTATCATACCTATTCTCCAGTGGTTTTCAGAGTCCAGCAACATTGAATAGTTTCCTAGACTAATTTTGAAATAGATCTAAATAATTTAGAAGGATTGGAATCAAATAACTTAGCAAGCACAAATTGCAGATCTTATGTTCAGGTCCACTGTGATCAGCAATCAGCCTGTTAAAAGTGAAGGCAAATAAGAAGAGTAGGCTGAAGACTGTCTACTCTTAAAAAAAACAAACCCAGAAAAATAGTGAAGTACAGTGTGTTGCTTTGTCTGTCACTCAGTAGCATCAATAAAGAAACCCTCTTTCCTCTGTCTTCTCTGCTTTTGCTTAGAACATACTAGCAATTCTATGCACTATACGCATATAGCATGAATTATAATAATGTCAGCCACAGGATGAACTTCTTCCTTACTTTCTGTTCTTAACCTAAACTCTCCTTACCTTAACCTGGAGTACCATGTTCTGGGCAATGTTTAGCTCCAACTCTGCCCGTCTCCTTTTCAAATTCTGTAGTTGTTGATCTGCATCCTGGAAATATATCCAGAGCTCAGCCTTCATTTGTTTGATCTCTTCCCAACCTTGAGCCAAATACTGTGAGTGCATTATCTGTTGCTCAATCTAGAAGAAAAGAAATGAAAAGGAGCAGAAATGCTTTAAGGCAGCTATTTTTGGAGAATGGGGGATGAATAGCATTATTCCTCTGAGCACAATACTGTATAACAGCAAATTTCTGCACTACATTCTGAAGGGGCTAATATTATCCACAAAAGGAGTCTTAACCTTCAAAAGTCATAAAAATCAGACCTATCAAAGGAAATCTGTGAGAAAAAAAAATAATCATTCATCCTTGAGAGAAGCAAGTATATTTATGAGTGTTTGTATTTCAAAGCGTCCTCAGTCTTCTGTTAAAGCTTAAATTAACTTTATGATTTAGTCTGTTGCATGCCAAGAATGCTGTTGGACTGTGCCCTACATACCTCTGCAGTGACAAATAAAAGCTTAAAGTAAACACTTTCATTTAATTTGCTTAGCCCAGTTATTTTTGCCTATATGCCTTTTGTAAAATACCAATAAGAGGAATGCTTACCGGATCTGAGCCCATCAATCACCTTAAACCAATAGTCACACAGCTTCTTTTGCTCCAAATACAGCAGCAGGGGCCTTTAAGGTTCAGACACTCAACCAGCTTAACAGATCTCAGCACTGTACTGCCTGCAAGTTCTTAAAAATATTTCACTACTTTATATGTAAAAGGAGAATCTTATCCTGATGTTTGGGATACTTCTTAGCTATTCAGTATTTGGACTGCCATTTTTTTATGGATTACTTGGATTTGTACAATTTGCTTCTCTGGTATGGAATACTGCTACTATATTAGATTTTTACTTGTAGAAGTAGTTTCAAAAGTTTGGTTGTGTGTGTATATGAAGCTAAAATTTTCATTACAACAGGAATGCTTATAATCTTTCTTTTCTAATAACTCTGATATTTATAAATTTATTCTAAAACCAAGCATTAAGCTATTTTGAAACTTAAAATTGAGGTACATTTCTATAAACTCATATCCTGAAGTAAATGCACTCTGATTTATGAATTGAAACATCATAATTTATGATGATTATAGTTAATAGTTTAGTATATCTCAATAAGAAAATCAGTCTACTGTTGAATAAGTAATAACAATAAAATACATCTAAGTTTTAATAAAATGCAGATAAGAATAGATTTAATTGTGTTGTATGAAAACAAGTAATTTGGATCAGGTTTTCTTCCATAGAACGTTATTTGTGTGGCTTTAGGCCAACATCTTGTATGATTGCCTAAGTACCTTTAGCAACCTTTGTTGTGTGTCTCTGTATTACTACCAGGATAGAAATGTGTGGATTTAATAAAACAAATAAATAAATAAATAAAGTAGAAAAAGAAAGAGAAAACTATTTCTAAAAGAAATACTTAAGATGAAAGTAAAAAGACACTTCTTTAAACCATTACCCAACATGACCTTTTTAAAAGAGAACAGATCAAGGCAGTTAAAGCTCTAAATAGGATTAAAAGCTGGTTGTTGTGGTTATCTTGTACCATTTGTTTTGTTTGTTGAATATCTGTTGCTGTACTCTTCACTGTAGCATCTGACAGATCACACATGGAGCACAGAAGATCCAGGTATGTATTGGCCTGCTCCTGCAGAGCCCGGAAATGTTTCACCTGAGGGAAGACAATCCTCAAATAAACTCTGAGACTGTGGAAATAATCTCTTATTTTATTACAATTATGTATTTTAGTATTTTTACTTTAGCTTATTATTTCCAGAAGATGAAATGTAGACACACATGATTTTATTGGGTAAGGCTGCTCTGTCATAATTATGGAAAAGAGTAACTCTAATTGATTATCATACAACTATGAAAGTGATTAGTGACATATGCATTAGCTAGCTTATTTTTTTATAAATAAAGCATTGGATAGATGCACACAGTTTCAACAAGGTGACTTACTTTCACAAGGTGCATGGGAAGCAGGGCTTTGTCCCGTTATTAAAGTGTCATGTTGTCCTATAACTATAAAAATTATCCAGTATCTTACAGATCATGGGGAATCCAGCCCAGTGGCACAACATGCTTTCCCACAGCTTCTGAAACCCTCCCAATGCCCCCATTATCTACAGTTGCCAAAATCAGACAGCATGATGCTGCTGAGGGTTCTTGCTCTCGACATTGCCCCTAGGAGCTCACCTCTTCCTCTGAAGAATTTCCTCATCCCAAAAGAAAATGATGATATTAGTGCTGATGACAAGCAGGGCAATAACATACCTCCTAGAGTCCAAGGGGGGGAGGGGGTGAGTGACCGCCTAACCCAGGAGACTGGTGGTGGGTCTTTGTGGGCAAAAAGTTGAACATGACTGCAGTGTGCCCTTGTAGCAACCCCAAATTACTGTGTCAGCAAGAATGCAAAGACCAAACTGTGGGAAGCAATTATTCTCCTGTACTTACCCTTGTCAGGCTGTGCCTGGTGTATTTGGCCCAGACTTCCCCCATAGAAGAGATATTGGCAAACTGGTGCAAATCCAGCAAAGGGTTGGGGGGATATGGGGCTGTAATTTGTGGCATTTGGGCAGGTCTGAACGAATGGGGTTTGTTCAGCCTGGAGAAGAGAGGCTAAGTACAGTCTGGCATTATTTAAAATGGTAGGGGTCAGGTGGGGGCAGTACTGAGAAGACAGAGCCAAACTCTTTGTTGACATGAGCAGAAAAAGAACTAGAGGGAAAAGTGACAAGGTACAACACAGACATTCTTCCTAGATAGGAGGGAAACTGTTTTTTTCACACTGAGAACAGTTAAGCACTGGAACAGGTCCCTAATCCTCAGGGATGGTCAGGGCCCTCAGTGCACCAAAGGACCCTGCAACCTCTATCCCCTTCTCCTTGGAGTTTAGCTGCCTCTCCTCAGGGCCAGCCCTGACTTGGCCCAGCTGGGACCTGGCCAATAGAAAAGCGTTCAGAAGCCCTCCCCCTTGCTTGAGACCTGCATGTTAAGCTCAGACTCTCACCCAGCTATGGACCTCACCTGAGCTACACTATAGGTGCATCTATTCCTGGCTGATCCTCCTGGTCTTGCCTTGCTCCCCTGACCTCCTGCTTCCACCTGGGACTGGCCTCATCCCTACAGACTTGCCTGGTGATCACCAGATGGTGGCTGACACCAGGGAGACTCTGCTCTCCTCACTTGTCTGCTGCAGGTCTGCACGTCATTGGGAAGGTGTTGCCCTGCTGGCCCCACTGTCACCCCTGCCCCCCTGCCCTTGTGGAGCTGCCATCAACAGTGTTTCAAGGTCTCTATTAAGCTACATGGTAGATAAGAGAGGCTGAATTCCAGCATTTTTAGTACTATATCAGTTTAATTTGAAAACAAGGTACAAATCTAATGTAAAATACATTAAGTTACTAAGAATAATCAAGAAATGAAGAAACCATTCTTAATGGTTAATGTGGGCTAGAGGCAGTTCTACGGTCTTAAGCTGAAAAAAATGTTTTAATTGCCTGATAACAGACTCTGTGTCCATGGTACTATGAAAGCAGGTCTCATATAGGAACACTAGTAGACAGATGGGCAACTGGACAAGCAAAAAGGCACAACCTCTCTGCTAAGCACATCTGTGGAGTATCTGAGCAGGTTTATCTAATTAGTCAATTTTTTTTCAGGTAACATATTTCTAAGCATTAAGCAGAATTAGCAAAAACCCTCTGTGATTTTTCACCTGTGGTTATTTTTCACTCAAGGTATTCCTTTTGGAAATTGGAGTGAACAATGAGGGTACAGAGCCCTCTGAGGAGGTCAGAGAGAGTATCTAATTTCTATTAATATAAAGCTCTTACTTAGACTCACCTTATTAAGGATAACTGAGCATTTTCAAATGCTGAACTTTTACCTGTTTGACTGCATCTGCCAGGCTGAAAGGTGGCCAGGTAGTTGGCTTTAATTCTGACTGCACTGTAGACAGCCAAGTCTGGCACTGTTGTAGGGTATCCTGATGATTAACATGCTTCTGGAGTTCATGTTCCAAACTCTGGTACACCTAAAATAAACATTTTTTAAGGTTACTGCATTTTCAAACATTATTGACTCTCTTCCACCTTGAAAACTGCAGATAAAACAGAATTCTTAAGACTGTGGTTATTTTAGCCCTTGTACATAAAAGTACCAAGGGATGAAAGCTCCTTAAGGTCTCACTGTATCTTGCTAATTTGTGGACAAGATGGACAATATCAAAGGCACGGATTCTGGAAAGAAAAAATAAAGGTGCAAATGAAGAGCATTGCCTCTCATTTCTGTGTTCTTGTTCAGCATTTTGCCATTTATCTAGTATGAGGTTTTACCCACCTCTACAAATCTTACTGACTATAAAGTCTATTTTTGGAGGCTTTGTTTTGGGGGTTTGGGGGTTTGGGTTGGGTTGGGGTTTTAGGGTTTATTTTTTGGTTTTTTTGCTTTGTTTTGTTTTGGGTTTTTTTTTGGTTGGTTGGTTTTGTTCTTGTTTTTTTTTTTTTTTAGACTATGCTGACTTGATCTTCTAATTGGATTAACAGAATGACCCAGCTAGCCCTTCTTAACTCTATGTTCTGCTTTTACTAAGAAAGACAGTATTTCCTAGCACATCATTAAGACCGTTATGTACATATGCAAACTACTAACACTAAAAGTGCCATTTTCTCCCTAGTTTTTGAAGTAGGAATAGTTCTAATTTCTTTGCTGGAGCTGCTCAGAAGCTAGTGTAACATGAAGGTAGTGAGAGTGTGGAGAGAATAAGGTAAGGAGCAATAGGCAGCTAGTTTTGCTGGCTGCAAGGCAACCTTTGGATGTCAAGGAATTCAGCTGTAGCACAGTAACGAGCAAGTGCTACATTAGTAACCTGTAGGCTCAATTTAGATGGAAACAGTAGAAAGAGTTTTACACCATTTAAAACACAAAGCACTTATAGAAATAATCATGTTTATTCTTAAATAGCATAAAAAACATTTTTGAAACAAGACTTACTCTTTGGGCTGTGCTACATATGGCAGAATAGCTGTCCTTTGTCCCCTGAAGATGGCTTTGTATGTTTTGCTTAAATTTTGCTTGAAGATGTTCTGTGCATTGACTGATCAAGTAATCACCTTTGCTCTTAAGGTTGTTCAAACGATCTTCAAATCCTGCAATTTCTTCCATGATAGCCTAAAAAACAGACAAAATACTTTTGAAGAAATATTTTAAATTTAAAACATGTTCTGAATTACAGCTTTTTAAATGAGCTTTTTTTCCCCCCCTTCCTTAAACATTCTTTGTCTTCAGATTTGGAAAAAAGTTTTCAGACAACATGTATTATTATAGTCAGGCTATTAGAGTGTATACTCATTGTGAAATCAATTGTCAAAAGTCTGTACATATATATCCCACAGAAACATCAGTAGCACTGTCATAATGTGCAAACATTACATGCTGATGTCTCAAGACTATCCTTAATCTTATTTTGTTGCATGCTCTCCAGGGCTCCACCAACTTCACTTGTGTCTAGTAATGAGGACTAAATCTGATGCCAAATCATATCTTATTTCATAAGCTCTTCCACTGTAGACAGTTCTTTCCTTTGACTTTGGTGGAGCCAAATTTTTATCTAAGGAGGTTACTTAAAGAATAACACACTAATCACAATGAGTTAAGAGATTTCACTATTCGCCCTTGGAATCTCAGTTTCAGGGGGTGGTGGGGAGGGTTGGATTTTGTGTTCTTTTTCTAGAAAGCATCAGCTATCAATGTAGTGAATGATTATCATTAATAGCAACCATAACAATACCTTGAAAATAGCAATGGAGGAAATATTACAACACAAGGGGGGGCGTGTGTGAAGAAAATTTAAAATATTTTTTTATCCTTAAGAGTGCCAGAGCAAAAAATGACCCTAATCTGCTTTTTGTGGTCTATTTCCTGTGACATCTCAGCAAAAATCTGACACAGAATTCAGACCAGTGTACAACAAAGCTCTTGCACAGATGCAGTCTCGTCCAAGAAACGGTGCTAACAAGAAGGTAGATTTGTTTAACTGCATTAATGACACTGATGCTTATTTACACAGTTATCAGTAGGAGGAAAAAAACAGGTGAATGACAAGTAACTAGAGCTCTGGAGTGGAGGCAGAGAAGCAAAGAAGAAAAAAGTCTATTTCCCCAAATGAAGGAAGTTTACCCAATAGCAAACACACCTTGTGATTAGCTAGTTGCTGAGTGATTATTTCAAGACTGTTATTCTCCATGAGGTCAGGGCTGACCAGCCTGCTGGACATATGTAATAACCATTTCTCCCCTTCTTGCAAATCACTGTTGTAATCCTCATGTTCTTTTACTCTCACCTCTAAAGTTTCAACATATGCCTGCAAGTCCAAAATAACAAAAATTAAATATTCAGGTAATTACAAGAATTAAAAAAAACCCTGACCACCCCTGACCAAACCAAACACACACAAAAAAAACCAAACCAAAAAACACCAAGAGTTTGAAAGTGCAGTAAGGGCGTTATCTTCTAAATTTATATTCCTGTGAGGGACTCTCACATGATTAGACTGTTAAGGAAGTCATCGAAGGCATTCCTTGTGTGAATACGCTCTGTGGTACTGAGCAGCATTTTCACTCCAGATGAAATACCATACTTTGAAGACTGAGGAGAACACTGAGGATCTCCTTAATTTAAGAAAGGGAACACTGTCAACTTGACATTAAGTTCACTTACAGGTATTACGCGTTCTTTGAGAGACTGCACATGACGTACCAAATGTTACGGTTGAGTCACTGCTGCTTACAGCTTTTGCACATACACATTGCCTGTGACTGTGCTAGGCAAATTAAGAACATACACGTTGAGTTAAAATGGCTTTATTCTTTTTAAGAAAGATTATTCATAAGTTCCTCTACATTTAAATCACCAAGATTACATCTAATGCAACAGATATCTGTTTTGTGGTACAGATTAGAGGAATGTCTGTAAACTAAAAATCAACTGTGAAAAAAATAGAGTCATTTCCTATTGGTGGATGGATTGGCAATTAGAGGTACTTAGGTCAAACATAAGTACTAACATGGTTTGCAGAGCTTATCCTTGTTAGGAGTATAACCTATTAAAAGCTTTAGGAATAATCATACTTTAGGACGTATTTAGAAGTATTAGATCTTTCAAAGTACCACATACATGTGGACTAATGAATCAATGTTAATTAATAATGCCCTTGCTGAATTAAATCATATCCATCTTGCAGTTCATTTTCTCCAGTGACTTCCATTGAACAACTAAACTAAACAGGATTTGTGCAAGATCTAACAGAAACAAAAACCGAATTGGTGTAAGTTAAAGGCATCTGTCCCTTTGGGAAATAATGTATTTAGAAACCTAATCAAAGCAATTCAAAATAGGAAGAATAGTACAAACTAGTCACTCATATATTTCCCCTTAGTGCTATGAAGACTTCACCTGCCACGCTCAAAATTCATTTCAGCTGCCCTTGTTAGATTTATTTAGGTGGAAGTTCTTTCCATATTCAAGAATTACCACCACACCACTCCCCCAAAAAAGCAAAAAAAAAAAGCAATTAAATCTAACTGGCTCTGTGTACAGGGCGTGACATGACAGCATGAAACAAATAGTCAGCTTCTTAAAGAGGGGAAAAAATACAGGAAATTGAAAGAACCTAGGGTTTTTTCCCTGACTTTTTACCTTTGTTGTGCTGCAGAGATCCTGGTAACTGCTCTGAAGGTCTTGAATGTTGTTCTTTAGAGTCACATCATTCACCAGATCAAAAAGTGCTTCTCCCTTTTCAATCACTGATTTTATTGAAGGTTCGTGGGACAGAACAGTCTGCTGTATGGACTACAATGCAAGCAAGAATAAAAATATATATATTGAACACTGAAAATCTATTTCACTAACTTCCCCTTGATCTGAAGCTCAGCCTTCGGTCTTGGTATATATAATCCTTTCCAGATGAGAAGAGTTCTGCCACCAGTAAAGGACTATGTTTCTCAGCCATGCCCTGAGACAACTTTGCTGGCATCTAAGAGCAATTGCTCCTTTTGTGAGTGGCTGGTAGCGTGGCTGACAACCTGGAGCTGGTGATGGAGAGGGAGTTAATATGTGTGAAGGGGCAAGTGCTAGGGATAAAACTTGCTCAGAGGAACACGTTCTGCAAATAGGTGGGAAAGTATCACCAAAGCCACCCCCCTAATGAGACAGTATGCAGATGAATGCATAAGACTGTGCTCTCAAGAGCATGCAATCTGTTATGTCATTGTGCCACTGGCTCAGACAGCATGGCACATGCCAGCATCTGTCAAATGACAGTGAGATAACAGCTCCCCCAACATGTAGAAAGCAGGCACACAGCTATGACATATGACTTTGTGTACTGAAGCCAGCAAGGGGTAGTGGGCAGTTTCAGGGAGAACAGCTTGATACTGTGCAGGTACTGCTCAGCAATAACCAAAACGCTTGTTTGTTAGCAACACTGGTTTAGCTACAAATGTAAAGCACAGCACTATGTGGGCTGCTATGAGGAGAGTTAGCTCCATCCCAGCCAGAGCCAGTACACATCTTATGAAACATTTGTAATCCTGAAGTATTTTACAAAAACATCATTAAGAGAAGCAATGGAGTTTGTTGTCATCTTTTTCTACTCATTTTTACGACTGGAAAAAAAATAAACCACGTTGTTAAAATTCTAACTAAAACCAGAGGAGGCCACAGCAGCTGACTGTCTTAGATGTCAGTTGAGCTGGGACATTCAGCTTTGACCAGAAAGCTGATTAAGCCAATGTAAACAGAGGCAATGTCCACAGTGAAGAAAGACCAACTGTTTTCTACCTTTGCTTAAACAGCAGTTAACTCTGTTGATATCTGTGGAATTACTCATATGTGTATTCATAAAAGAATTTTGCTCCATAACAGGAAATTTTCAGATATGGAAGCCTTATTAGTACATTCACATTTCAAATCCAGGTGCTCACTCTGGGTGGTAGATGCAGGTATCATGCATCTTTTCATTTTGATGCCGATTTGGACATCCAGATCAGAGACATCTCATACATCTATTGAGGAAGCTTGAACAGACACCTGCATCAGAGGCTTTACTGTGAGTCAGTATGTCAAAACTGATTCAATAGTACAATGCTATAACCCCTTTTTACCTTGTATTTGGACAACTGGGCCTTCTTCTCATAGAGTTCGCTCTTTGGCTCCACTGGAGCATGTAACATGGCTTGGTACTCTGTGACCCACTGAGTCTGTGCCTTGTACTTGTCTGAGAACTCTTTTGCCAGCTGAAGGCACTTCTCTGAAGTCATGTGTTCTTTCCTGATGGAGCCAGCCAGCTCTTCAAGCTGTTCCACATGACCTCCAATCTCTTTTCTTAACTGGTCAACTTCATTTTCTTCCATGTACTTTATAGCTCGCTCCCCCTTCTCACGGGCAGATTTCAGTAAACTGTGGCCTATGTCCATATCACTCAATAGCAGCTGTGAAGGAAGTGTTGGTTAACAGAGAATGTATGCAAGCTCTTCCCTTTTTTTTTTTATTCATGGTAGTTCTATTATCAGTGAGACACTAACTAATTTTTTTTTTTTATTTTTCTAAGGACACAGAATGAATTGCTAGGAAATTGAATGGACTTTCCGTTACAAAATTGACTTGAATTAAGGTGTGGTAAACTAGAAGGAAGCAGGAAAAGCAAATTCTTCTGTTCTGCACTGGGCTTATGAAGATAAGCACAGAAACTGAGGGCTATCAGGAGAGGATTTGTACTCCAAATTCTGGAATAGCTGAAAATTTTCCCCTAGTGAATTATGTTTAAGCTGCAGGACATATGAAAAACTCAACTACAACTCAGATGAAACATGAGTTTTCCTACTGAGTTATTTCACTGAGGAAAAATAGGAAGCGCTTGCCACAGTGCATACTGGTATAAAATATACATGACAGGATGACTTGTGAGGGGAATTTATTTTAAGTTTTAACCTAAACCGAAACACACAAACGTGCCTTATGGAAGGACAGGATTATATTATTTAGGACTATTCATAACCTCAATAATCAAACTGTGATCTAATGTGTATATGACATGAGAACAGAAAGTTTTATACTGGGTGGTCTTTATCCTGTTAGCTTCTCTGGACAAGGTGAAATCAGAATTTTGAGCAGCTGTTAAGATGCATGTTAAAATATAGCCTCTTTTAGGTGAACAGAAATAAAAAATGCATTTGAGAAAGTTGTACCTCCAGTTTCTGCACTTTTTTCTCCATCGCTGTTTTATCAACCACGTCAAACTTGGTGATCACATTTCTGAAGTTCCTGTTAGTAGCTCCATACCAATTTGTGTAAGCACTAAAAGCCAATTCTGACTCCTCCATACAGCGTATCTCTTCTTCCAGAAACTTTATTTGCTCCTTCAAACAAGTATGGAGGGTAGGGGGAGGAAACAAGAACCACCCAGATGTTTATCATTGCTTTTGACTAAAGATAGCAATAAACTGTTATTTATTAATAAACCCTGATATACTAAGATAAACCACATAGGTTTTGAGTTATTTCCTATCTACTGGATGAATCTCACTGGGTGCATACATAGCAATCATTAATGTTAAAACTGAGTTAATACTAAACACTGAAAAGATAATTACATTTTGAAATTTGAATTGTGACTTTTGATTATGGTACTTACTACTTAAAGTGATCTGAAGACTGTACCTTGCCAACTCATTTTTTCCCCATACCTATGTGTTTCAGTTATAACCTGAAAAATTTCTCTAGAGGTCATTCACCATTCAAATATACTGAATTTTTAATTTCTCTCCTGAAACTGCCAAAAGACACAACCTCTGATTAATATTGAATATTTTTGAAAGGGCATTATCCCAATTATGGTTCTCTAACACATTTAGTCCAATGAAATCTACATGTATGTGTGTGTATATATGAGAATATATATGTGAATATTATATTACTGAGTCTACAGTAATGAATAAACTGAAAAAGTCTAGTTAATAAAGTCTGTTTATATTTGCTTCTTAACTGACAATTTATGATGCTACAATGAATTAATTTTCATTACTTACCAAGACATGAAGAAGAAGAGTTTGGTAGCGAGACGTAAGCTGCGTAGCCTGGCTTCCCATTCTACTTGCAGTGAAACTTTCCTCTAGTATTTGCTGAGCCAATACCCCAACTTCTTCCACATCATCTTTGTAGACTGTAATTTCTTCATGCCACTTCTATGACAAAGACATTATCCAGCTTATATGACTGATTCAAACATCTTAAATACAACAGCAATTTATTTGTAACCGAGTCAGGAAATCATTGAAAAGAAAAACAAATATGTGGTGGTAAACATGGATTTACACCAGGAAAATAAAACAGAACCTGATGATGGTTAATGTAATGAATGTGCTGGAAGTTTTATCATACTGTATGGACTGCATTTCATTACAAGAAATTTAATACTTGCCCCCCAAATAGTAATAGAAATGCAACCTGGAGTTCCTATAGAATTTGCCCTTGCAGTGCCTAAAGGAGAGTTATTACACCAACACAGCAGAGACTTCACAACACAGTTGGTCACATTTTAACTCTTGTTACAACATTAACACTTTCCCACTCTATGAGCAATCTTTGCCCTCAGTTATGCCTTCATATACCACAGAGCATGTGAATTCCAGATATCGCTATGAGATTTCAACATTGGTATAGCCATACCTTTACCAGTAAAATGGAAGGAACCTGGACCCAGAAGGCACGAAGCTCTCTTGGATGCATCATTCTAGGCACCACCTCAGACTAATTTGCAATACTTCCCATCATTTTCACAGTGCAACCAGGAACCGATGTGGGAACCTCACATGGTATTTTGCTTAAGAAATGCCTTAACTATATTCTTTACCTTCATTTGTTGAAGCTGCATCTCCTTTGTTGCTCTACCAGACTGCCTCCCAGTCCTGATAGCAACTTTCTCCTCCAGATCTGTTAGCCACTCAGTAACCTTCTGAAATTTTTTCTCCATTAACCTCAGCCTGCTCACAGTGGCATTTAATTGGCTTCTTGCTTCAGAAAGCCGGTGCTGATAAACTTGCCAATCCTGCCGTAAGGATTCCAGGGCTCTGTCTTCTATCTGGGGAATGCCCCAAGGAATCACCTCCTCTCTGGCATGGACAGCAGCATTCAATAATGCTTGTCCTTCTGCACAGTGGACCTGCAGCTCCTGTAAAGGCAGAGTTATGGATACATACCCTACATTAATAGCTTTCATTCACACAAGGAAAACAAAGCCCTGGTTCTACTCAACACAAAAGCAGCTACCTCACGTTATCTAGGTATTCCTTTTAGTTATCTATGGTTGAACACATATTACACTATCTCTAAGAACACCTATGATGGCATGCTCACTTACAAAGAAAACCAAATATCACTGTTATCAACAAGTGAATTGGAGAAAATTATTGACAAATCATGCATTAAATTCTTTCCCCTCCTGGTAAGTTTATCATCAGTTCTGAAACATTAACTGAGCTGGCATGGGATGGATGCAATCCATTTGGCACTGCCTTAAATTCAAAACTTTCCAGCTGTGGCAAGCAGACTGTAAGATTGATTCTAAAATTGAATCTGTTTTAAAAAAAGGAACAAGGTGAGGCGTCAGTCTTTTAAAATAAACAAACCTATTTATTTTTACATATGTTTGAGACTTCATTCCAAAATAATTCTTGATACCCTCTTCTAGACATGGGCGGCATTTTCATGATTAATAGAACTTGATTAGAAAGTATGAAGGGATTCAATCTGATTAGAAAACATAACCAGGAAATTACCTTAATAAAATACAGTTGTGTGTTGTCTTAGTTTATATTTGAGATATATATTCAGGTTTTCAAAATGGATTCAGATTTTGTAAAGTAAAATATAGTAACAAGACATATATGCAGATTCCCTGATCATACAAAGACCTTCTCAGTGTCCTGAATAAGTATTTCATAACTCAAGTTCAGGCCTTTTGCTAATTCAACAACAGGTATGAAAGTATTTTAAGCCATCTTAAGATCATAACTGTGAAATTACTGAAGCGCTATAGGTTCACCCTTCACTGTCACTTAAGTGATTCAGTAATAGTCTTCCCACCTCACTATGGGAGCTAGGCTACATGGCTGGAACTGCCTGAAAGTAGATGCATCTGCAGTGTAAGCAATAAAAGATGAAAATCCAATGAAAAGAATACTTTTGATATTCTGTGAAACACAGGGAAAAGAAGAGGTAGGCCAACATCTAAAACAAACTCAGTACTTGTAAGAAAGCATTAGTAAGCCCAGAGATTTTGTTCAAGGCCTGACACTTCTTTCTGGAAATGAGTGGCAATGTTTCCACTGACTTTACTGGAACCACTTTTGAGCAGCAAAGTACTTACGTATAATGTGATTCCAAGCTGTTCTCAAGACAAAAAAGAGATGCAATTTTTGTCTGGTAATTAATATTATTCTGTTATTTTACAAGTAGGATTTTTTTTTTTTTTTTACTCAGGTTGTCACACGTTACGTACCTGTAAGTCTCGAAGTGTTGCCTCCTGTTTCTGTGCATCACCATCAAGGTGTGATAAACAGTCAAGTTTTTCCTGTTCCTCCTCCAGCCATACTTCAAATGTCTTCAGATTTCTTTGGTACTCTTGATGTAAGTTAAGCAGTCCTTCAGCTTTTGATACTGCCTCCTGTTTGTTAAAATATTTACATATATGTATATATATCTTAGTGTATCATCAAACCAAGGAAACATAAAACCCGGACTTCCATCAAGGTGAAAAGTTTATATCTGATGCTGACCTTTCCTTGAATTCAAGACTACTTGGATTCTGAAGATGGTTAGTTTGTGACTTCTGGGATGTGAAGTTTTGACCTGGGATCAATTTTAAATAACACCTTACTGTCTAATAACAAAAGACCTTCTTGATTTTTTTACCAATTTAAATTCACTTTAATAAGACTATGAGCCTAGAAATTGCATGTTTTTTCTTTGCATGATTTTTTTTGCTAATGGAATCTTTATCTTCTATTAAGAGTATCTAATATCTTTAGGTTTGAAGACTACCCCAGTCCTTTGTAGGCAGATCCTACAGAGCACGGTGAGAAACAGACTGCAAGTCTTCTGTGCATGTAGGTGAGCAAATTACAATAATTTTGCAACCCAGCACTAAAATATTACCATATCTGGGGTACAGCAGGAAAGGCATCATGTATTAGCACTAGACTGGTCTTTCTAAGTGCAAGAAAAGTATACGACATGTAATTCACTTCCTCTAAGAAATGATGGGAACAGGGAATCGAGTTTGGATGGAGGCAAGACAGGCTGCATCCCAGGGCAGCAGGCTACATAGAAGAAAAACACTTTCATAAACAGCAGCCACGAACCTACTGTCTGCTTTACCTATTTCTAACATGTCTGGGTAGTGAGAGGAAGGAAGAAAAGAGGAGTGTTATCAATCTTTTACAAGGCCTGTCCACGCCCAGTAGTGGGAAGAGGGAAAGAAAGACTAGTTCTCTTCCCTCTTGACAATGCCTGCAAGGGATTACAGGTCTTGGTCTGCTCAGGCTTGGGCCAAAAACCCTTGGGGAAGCTTGTCAGGTTTCCCACCTGGCCAAAGGATTAGTAAAGGATTTGACCATTCTTTACTTTCCAGCTATTTGCTTTGAACTTTGAATCACTTTCTAAGCTACTTGAATGTACTCTTGACATTTAACGTCATCACCACAGTTGGGAGTGGAGGAGACCAAAGATATCTGGGGTATTAGACAGGAAGAGAAAGACAGGATGCTTCTTGCTACATGAGGAAAAAGGTACAGAGCTCTTGCCTCTGTGAACTACCATCCATTTCTCATTGTTCCCATGCTGTTGCTCAAGTTGAGCAAACACAGGCAGTCTGTGTAGCTTTGTGCAAGAGAAAGAGGTAAAGGTTAGAGGATCCCCATGCTAAAAGGAATACTAGGTATTCACTAACACTTCCCAGGAGTTACTCATCAGTGTGCATCGCATTTTTTGCAGTTGTGGAAGAGAGTATCACAAAACAGTGAATCACCTATGCGTTTGAAAAACTGAATTTTGGCCCTTTCCACAGGACAAAAACATCATTGAGACAACAAAATTCAATGTCATGAAGCTGATGTCATGTAGACAAGTTGCCTGTCTGAGCATACACCAGGCTTTATTCAATTACCACAGAACAATTTGGGTTAACTGGAGATAATCACCTAGCTTTAAAAGTATCACCAGATCTTTTATTATTTCTTTTTTATCTTATATCTTACATTAAAACCCATCTTGGTCTTTATCTGTGTATGCCCTAATCTTTTCCAGATCTACAACAGCAACACTTATCAGTAAATGTAGTATTTATCATGCTGGGTCTTTTGACCTTAGAGTCAGTTTACTGGCTAATAAGGTTTGTGTTCAGCAGCAAGCTTCTATAGTTGTCAACCATTTGTGAATTACCTGATTGACTGGTTGCATTTATTGCAAAACACATTTATGCAAGTCACAGATTCAGAGATGCTTCCAACTTTTCAGTCACAATGGATAAAATCATACCTGTGCTGAAGTCAAAGAGACTTTTGGCATGGAATTCCTTGGGCTATTCACCTGATGATTTTTTCAGATTCAGATTTTTAGAACATTACTGAAAAGATCTGAAGCTCAGTGGTACAGGAAGGAAGATTGATAAAGCACACTAATAACTTTCTGTTACATTAAGTTACAGCTGTCCCCAAACTTTTACTCATTTAACTGTAAAATAAATGATCAATGAAAAGCCTTTCTTTTTCCTGGTTGCCAACAAAACCAGAGGGAGGGCTATCAAGAAAAAAATGTACCCTTGTTCTGTCTTTGAGGAACTTATACCGCTCCTGAAGGTCCTGGAGTTCAAGCTGAGTGACATAATGCTCAGCCATCCCACTTCCTTTCACTTCAATCGTCTCCAACAGGCTGCTGTGACTCAATACCTCTTCACTGAGTAGCTGCAAAACAGAGAGAGAAGAACACTTTTATAAATGGGCAGCATTAAAACAAGACTTCAAGTTAATCTTGCAGTTATTCAGCCTTTTTTGTTCCTTATAAGGTGATATGGGCTTGTTGCTGGTTTGTTGTAAAGCAAACGCACCTTTGCTTTGCTGAGGGCAGCTGTTTTTTCCCTCAGCTCAGCATATTGCCTTTCAGAAGCATTCATACTTGCTTCTACTTTATCCATCCAGCTGGAAAACTGACGAACATCATCCTGGTAACTTGTCCATTTGGAGAGAGCTCCTTCCAGTTGACTGTAATTTAAAAATACATATTTGTTGTGACAGGGGAGGTTCTCATGCTATTTAAGCAGTCAGATATAGTCACATACAGTTATCCTAGAATATATTTATAAGAAAGACATATTGCAAACTAAGCAGTCTGAGACAGAGCTGTTAAAACCCTACAGGTTTTAACTAGGAGCACTGTTTGGCTGATAAAGAGAAATTAAATTTTCCAAACTTGAAATATTAAGGAGGTCTGTAAGTTTTGTAGCTAGCTGACATGTTCTAGCTTTAGTAAATAAAATGCAACTGAAAGCATAAGATCCAGAATCAGACATTTTCTGTCCCTTTGCATACATTCAGAAGTTGATACATTCTAATGCTCAATTACCTTTGTTGTTTTAAATTGAAATATTTGCAACAAGTGATGTTCCATCAAAGAAGGCTGCATTTTCCCCTGTATTTCTTTATTCTATCACTTTGAGAATCGCTATTGGACACTGTAATTACAGCACCTTCTGTGAAATGCTAGCAAGTGGAAAAACAGAGAGGATCTTGACAGAGCAACCATTAACATCCATGACAAGATCTTCTCATTTCTAAGAACAATTCAAGGCCTCGAGTGCAACTCAAAGTAAGATTTACAACAAGATTATGAACATGGAATCCCCTTTTAAGAGTATATTTGAAATAAGTGTTAGCAAAGCTTAGATCACTCACAGTTTCCTTCCCTTTTCCTACTTCAAATGAACATGTCACTTAAGGCCTCTAGACCTGCAATGTTAGGCACATGCACTCACTTTATATGAATTTGACTCCTGTAATAATAAAAGTCTGGGAATTAACTTTTCAAAAATTTTGACAGTGCTTTTTTGCTAAGCATCATTCTGCACCTCATACCCTTTTTACCTCTTGCACTGGATACAAGCAGACAGAAGAGAAGCCCAGCTGTCCTTCAGGGTTTGCAACTGCTTTTCAATCACTGGTACTCCCTCCAGAGAAGTATTTTGCAAAACAGATTCTCCTCTTGTCAGAACCATTTTCATCTGGATTTCTTTTTCTTGTTTCACTGCTAGCAGTCCCTAAAAAGTGAGCAGATATTATTCCACTTTTATCATTAACTGGACACGAATATACTAACTGGTTTTACTGGAGAATGAGCTGGTCAAATGTACAAACAATCAATTGGAAGGGGGACAGTGGGGTTCACAGCTGGGCTTCACAAGGAAAAAATGACTTTCAAAGGGTAGGTTTAGGCCATTAAAAAAAATGTTAGTTGGCAGGGAAGTTTTCATGGAATCTGTGCAGGTACTTACAGTATATCAAGAGAAGGTACTGTTGGGTGGAAAAGCTGACATTCCAAAGGGAATGTCATCTACATGGGAAACAGAAGAATTCATTCATAGAGAAAACAAGATGTGATGACAAAACTCTTCTACAGGGCTGGAATACAGTTCTACCACTCTAGGATCTATTTGCAACACAAAAGTATCAACATATAAACTCAGTAGACTATCAGCAACATCAGCTTAGAGATTTCCGCTCCTGGAGCTGCACAGTTGCAAAATAACATTTTCTAACGTTAAGCAAAGTCATAAAAAGCCTGAAAGCATAAGCCTGAAAGACTCAATGAACAAAAGGCAAACCATAATTTTAGTATTTTGATACAATCTCTTGCTTTTTGATGTATCCTTTTTATTTTGAGGACTTGTCCATATTTTGGCCACAGCTCAAAATTTGAGACATCAATAATATGAAAAGTATTATTTTCTGAGTACTGCTCTTCAACATATTTTGTGCAGTAATATCAATACATGCTATTTTGTTAAATGTAGTCGCCATTTTTAAAGCAAACAATTATAGGAAAAGCTGTTCAGAATCATCCATATCACCTGTAAGATCTAGGAATATATTAAACTAACAGAAGTGAATGTCCTACTTCTTCCATTTAACCTTCAGGAGCCACCCAACATCTTTTGAGGTTTTTTTAAGAATTTGTATATGTGCAGTTTTCCATGTCATAAAGGTCCCCATATCCTTCTTGGAGAAAACTTCTAATAATAAGCTCTTTCCTCTATAAAAAGAGTTATTTCTGAGTATATTGAAAATCAATGTCTGAACGACAACAATCATTACACTAACATGCAACAACTAGTGTAAAGTATCCCATATTTGCAACCTTACAGATCTAAAAAGAGCAGGTTTTGGAGTCTATTCTTTCCATACCTCTAGCTTTAACATCCGGCTGTCCAGAACACTCTTGTCTGCAGTGGGATGACAATAGGAATCCAGCATGTGAACTGCATCAGCCACCCAGTCCTGGAGGTCCTTGACGCTGTGCAAGAACTGCTGGTGCTCTGTGACGACCCTATCCATTCTGGAAACTTTCTCCTGCAATTCATATAGCAATAAGCACCAGCAGCCAAAGGATTGCGCATTCCCCATACCTACTTACGGACTTTAGAATGAGTTTCATAAGCTATACTCAGAAATTCTCTCTATACATTGATAATTACAAGTCCACTTACTTCAGCATGGAATGAATTTTGCATACACACACACACACACACAAATTAGTTGTCCAAACATAAATAACAAATACAACTTTTGGAAATGTGGTTTTTGTTTTCTAAATGTAAAGCTTCATCTGATTGTCTCCTCTCATCCAAAGTAGTTGACAGTTTTCTGGTTTCACTGAAGATAACTTGTGAAATCTGTCAATGCACAACAGATTTAAGCCTGTGAAGCTATGCCACTGCAGCAACATTACTTTGTTGATACTTGGAAAAGAAAGACCTGTTTTCTTCAATGATTCCGATTGGTGTAACAACTCTTCTGAAAAATTACTGACACTTGTACAAATAAAAAATGAATGCTCAAGTTACATTGCTAAAAGGCCTGAGGTGAACAGGAATACAGGGCAGAGTACATTTCACACGGTGACAGGGAACTAAAGTCAAGCCAGTGAAACAGGCTTAGGAAGTTACAGAGAGGGATCTTTCTCAAGCATCCCTGGCTACCCAGAGAATTTCAGGATTCTTCTCATAGGTTGGATTATACGTATCTTCTGCCTCTGATTCCTTCTTCTCATCCTCACATGTCCTACGTAAAGTTCTGCCCACATAAGCCAATGTTAGTAACTCATGTATCTTTCCCTTTCTCATTTTGCAGTCATGCAATTTATTATGGCCATGTATAAAACCACTTTCAGTAAGTCTTACATCTCTAGATATGCTTTGTAATTTTTATTTCCACAGAAAAAGTAGAAATGAACAAACTAGCAACTGCTCAAATATAAATACTTTCTGTACTGAATTTTTACCCCATAACACACTTCCTATATTCTTAATTATTCTCATTATTGTACTTCCTCTAAGCCTAATTCAATATCAAACCTCCTTCATGACTGGAAATTTGTGAAAAATAACAGTCCTAACACAAAGACCTTCTTATCTGATCACACAATAGAGATAGTAGAACTATTAAATGTTAAAGTGTGTCAGGCACCACTGAGCAAAACAGAGTTAGGTTAAACTCTTAGTTCTTAGACTGATGCTTTAGAGTTTGGCCTGTGCCTCCTCTTGAACCTTCAAAAGCAGCCTAAGAGGGAATTTTTTTTAAGACCAATCTGTTAGTTTCAGGTGAAGATGCTGACAATGTCAATAATTAATCATCATTATAGGATGCAACAAAGTAACAACTTCCCCGTATTCTGCATTTTCTAAAAAAAATAACTTCCCAAAGTTTTGAAAAATTCTTCTTTCAGGTGCCTCTTGTTACAAAAATAAATATCTTCAATGTTTGAAATAATCAAAATCAAACCTGATTATTGGATAATCAAGTAGGGTTTGCTTTTTAATCAAAACACATTAAAAAAAATTAAAAATCACAATTCTATTTTGTTGACAGTCCATGGAATTATCTAGGTCCTTACTTCCCCCTCTTTAAAGCCAGTGCAAAAGACAAGATAGCTCAGACATACCACAGAGCAGACAAGCAAGACAACCGCAGTGTTTCACATTTCAGTCTTTCTTTTTCTCCACATACATAAAATGAACTGCTTAAAGGCACATACACCAAGTGCATTACCTTTGTCAGATTGCTTAGAGTAAGATACTGAGAAGACAACTGAGACACTCTGCGCATAAAGCTTTTGCTGACAGCTTGCTCTTCCCACAGCTGCTGAGCTTTCTCTTTTAGCCTGTTGAGCTGATGCTCGTGGCAGCTTATTTCCTCAAGGACAGACTGTAAAGCACAAGCACGTTTAATATTAAGAGTGGGTGCAAGAAAGCAGGAAATAAAGAAGCATGAAGGCCCCGTGAAAAATAGAAGTGACATATGGCAAGCTTGCTGAGCAAGGCACACCATACAGCTACAGCAATGAAGCAGCATGTCATAAGAAATGTGGAGATGCAAAACCTGATGGAACAGGATCATCAACAGCAACCCCCAAAACCAGTTCTCATCTTATTTAGAGGTCAGGATGCTAGAATGATCAAGCTTTTGTAAGGAATCAGTGAGGCCAGGAGGATGGGACAGGAAGGTCTGGCTGTGTTAAAAAGGTTTGTAAGAAGTCACCTGCAACTTTTGCTGTTCTCTCCTCTTGGAAGGAAGATCATGGAGCCGACTGCTACTTCCTTGTACCATCCTCTCAGTTGAGGTCAGCCACTCCTGCAGAGGCTCAGCAGTTGCTTCGAAGTCCTTCATCTGGATCTTTAAGTTCTGGGGGGACATGCACAATTTTATCAACAGTCCCACTGCACTGGACATAACTGCAATGCACAACACACAAATCAAGCACAGAAACATGACATATGGTTGCAGCCAAACACTCCACAACTCTTCTAAATAAATTACACCAGCTCTGCTCCTTCTCATCCCGCAGACAGACACTGAAAGAAAAGTCTGAGAGAGCACCTCTATATGTCACAAAATAGGGGCAATAATTTAGGATATGTCTATACAATTGAGGGGAGGCTGAAGCAAATTTCCTCTGAACTGAAAGCGTTACAGATTTTACAAGCTTTGAGTCAATATAAATCTAACTTACACAGCTAAGGCAGTCTGAAGAAAGGCTAACCTGGAATAAAAGTTACCTAACATCTGACCGCAGTCATTCACACTGACACCTCCTTCAACGGGCTGCCACTATTCCTTGGCGACATATGACTAAGTTCAACCCAATCCTGGGGATCCTTTCTGATTATGTTCTTTTTCAGTGTAAAATTTTGATTATAAAAACATGTGTGTAAAGGCATATGTAGGCATTCCTTCAGTGCCTGTAAATTTTTCTTGTAGGGTTATTCTGCATAATTAAAAAAAAGAGCATCTGAAATAATTCATATGGAATAGAAACCTGAACAGCATAGTTCCTGTGTCCTAGTTATTTTTTTCCCCCCCCCCCCCCCCCCCCCCCCG